ATGCAAGATCCACCGCTAAGCGGGATTAGTACTTACTTGTCGGAGCAGTAAAGGAACATGTCATCATGAGGGATGAACTGCTTTTCGCACGTCATGCTGTCAAATTTGTTAGTATATTTTTTTCTTCTCTTGTTCGCTGGAATTTCCATGACCCATGGCTTAAGAGCCAATATTGTTCCCAGCTGCATGGTACCTGGACATGACGGCATCGCCGTGACCGTGACCAGGGCTGCAGGCAGGGAAGCTTCATGATACCAATGGAAAGGGGGATAGAAACACCATGGGATGACGTGCGACTCACCAAAACTGCGGGAAACTCTCCCTCTCATCTTCCCAAGACTCTGTCCTTTCGCGCTCACGTTCACGCTGGCCGCGGCCGAGTTTTTGTGGTGTGTGCCTCCGAGTCATGACGGGTCGCTTGTACTTTGTAGGGTCGGATGCAGTAACGGCTTTTCGTACGTCGGTCGAAGATGTAGTAGGCAGACCGTGCCCTGACTTTCTCCGGCTGTGGTGCATTGTATTGGACTGAAAGAATGACAATTGGAGAGAACAAGAAAGGATGAGATTCTGGTGATAAAAATAAAATAAAAAGGTAGTCAAAGGATTTGAGAGAAGGGGGGGCCGGTGATAATTATGATAAGTTGTGAACCTGGAGGTCAACAAGGTGCCCCAAGTACAAGTACAGACCGTAAGTACTCGGTACCACTGTAAATCAGTGGAGTATGCAGATATTTAGAGCAGCTGGGGCCGCCTGTGGTCAGGTACGGTAAGGGTAGAAAACCGCCTGTCCAGTGTGGTTCGACTGCGGGGGGCCTTATCGCGGAACTTAGCCTAGGCTCCAAAGATCTCCTTACTCCCTGATTCGATAAACAGGGGGATAGTGAAGGATGACAGAAGCAACGGTGGTTGCAAATTTTTTCTCAAGCTTGACCGTCTCAGGAGAAATTCGAGAATTGTGTGATGGCAGGGTATAGCAGAGTGGCAAATTGTGTTTAGAAGCGCGCATGGGCATGTGCAAGGACAACAGGATGTTAAATTCCCCGAGTGGTGAGTTGTGTTGCAAATGGAGACGAAGCGACCAGAACAACCGTAGAACAAACAGTGACCGACTCGAACACAATAACTAACGTGCTGTAACCGACAGAGTAGGGCAAGGCTAATCGAGGGAAAAAATACCCGGCGTCGAATAAGAGATGAGACCAGTTTAGTAATTCTTCTTTTAGACTCAAGATCGAGTTGGGCAAGCCCATGCAATTTGGTTTTCTAGATCTCGATGGGATGAAAATTCCTTCCAGAAAAAAAAATCCACTGATCAGAGGTAGACTCAATGATGTGTTACCACCCAGGGACCGGAACGGTGACAGCAGATCCGCAGCGTGGAGACGATGCCGTGCTATGTCTTATTCGGCCGCAGGATGAAGGCGGTATGAATAAATCGAGTGTCGACTCGCGATAGTACAGTAGTGTAAGTGTCGTGTAAGTCAAATTTAGCCGAGTGGGTAGGTCTCTGGAAGGTACAGTAGCCAGAAAAGAGCCGCTTTATTAGCGCTGGCTGATCCGTTGAGGAGCTGAAAGGGCAATGGTGGCAGATGGTGTCGTTGATGTTTTTCTTTCTGTCAAGCGAATGTGTTGGTTTTCGGTCGATTAGATAGGCAGGTTAAAGCAAAGCTGATAACCTGCGAACGGGCGAAGTCGGGGCACGCGAGTGTTAAGTACTGTGTTGGAGGTAGGCACCTGGTGACTCGGGCCTTGGTTGTCGTGATCGAACAGGTGAATGAGCGATGAGCCGAAAGCGGAGATGTAGCGCCCGCAAGAAGTGAGCCAATAGCCCGCCGCAATCAACGTTGCGAGTTGTGACTATCGGATTGCGCGACAGCGCAGCACAGGGCAGGGCAGGGCAGCTGGGACAACGGATAGAGGATCCTCTGAGGATACCCCGTTGAATGTCTTTTTACTAGCGACGAAGGACAGGGACTGACCGACACCGACAAGCAGATAGTTCCCAATAACAGGCCGAAAACTGCAATTATGGGTTCGTCAGGATGCCGGCTGTTTAAGCCCTTGTATTCCGGGCCCCTCTGGTAATGGGTCAGATCAGACGTATGCGTAAGTTGTGAGGCAGAGCGCAAGCATGAGTAAAGGCGTCGGTTGATGCAGAAACTGTCTCAGGTTGACTGATGGAATATCCGCAGACGTTGTCACACTATCAGCAGACGTGATAGTTCTGACCGGAAGCAACGAGTAAGAATGCGGATAAGGGAGAAGGGGTACTGTATATAGATAGATGCATGTATTGCTGGTGATCAGCTTGTTGATGGGCAACCTTGGTAGGGTTATAGGTACATTTAGGTTCAACAAGGTATATGTTGGGGTTGATGAATAGGCAATCAAGAACTGACCACATCTGTCATGGTAAGTTCTGGGGAAGCGAGGCCTCTTGTAGGTATGTATCTATCCTCTGCTTGGTTGCCTATAGATAAACATCCATCCATCTGCGGGAACACTGTCACTGGCCATCTGATGCGGGAACGGCATCGGGGTTACATTATCAGGCGCCAGCCAGGGACATATCGATGTGCATATCAATAATGAACCGACAGAGTGCAGTAACCATTCGCCATTGTAGCGTAGTCTAGCGCAAGAGCAGCAGCAAGTAGCGTTGCGTTGCGTTGCCTGTGAGGAAATCAGCCAGACAAATCTCGTCATGACAACCGTAGAGAAGCCATGCCGCACGCACGCAACTCAAGTCCTAAGAAAAGTCCTGCTGTGCCGTGCCGTATCATTACTTTGGCGAGCAGTCAGGACAGAGAAGAAGAACGAACGATAGGCTACACAGATGATACATGTTGACTGTCCTTATCCCAATCGGCGCTAAGTAGCATTGAATAATGGATGGATGGACGATGCCAGGCACGCCTTTCCATACAGCAAAGCACAGAAGTAAAGCCTGTCGACTGGGGGTGGATACTGAGCACAGGCTTTCGTAGAGAAGGGGGGCGTCTGCGTAGTTTTGGCACGGCCTAAAAGGGACATCAACTCTTTTTTCTCAAGGGTTCAAGGGTTCAGGGCGAAAGAGTGGGCGCTTCACGCTTAGACTTGATGATCATGGTGGTTTTGTCCCGTTGCTGTGGTGGTGGTGGGCAGGTGATGATGATGAAGATTGGGGAACCGAAGCCATGAACTAGTGGCATTGACGACAAAGTAATGCAGAAGGAGAAGGGGCTGCTGTCGCCATATCATGTCATGCCCGTCCATCGTTCCGTTGAGAAATAGATTATCAGTGGAAGGAAGGTGGAAGGTGCCTCTAGCTCTAGTGAGACTGAGGGGGGTTGCCTATCCACCTGCACTTGCCTCCCTGGGGACCAACTGGGGGGGTAATTATTCCCCGCTTCCTTCTACTGTAGGTACCTCCTAGCACCAGGCACAGCCTACGATAGGCCACTAAAACCACTGAACTTGCCCAAATGGATTGCGATAAAGCTCGTCTCATCCACCATACAGAGCACGTTTCGTCATCACGATGCATGTGTTGTTGATGTCTACTAACTTGTTACGCAAAAAAACATGTCCTAGTTCGCACCATAATTATTTCGTACACTAGACGTTCCATTCTACAATGCCATTCTCCCGAAAGTTTCGCGGCCCGGCAAAGTCTTGTGTGTGAGAGAAATAAAAGCGTGTGCGCGGGAACAAGGCCGCTAAGCTATGAGCAGCTTGAATGATCTGCATTTCTTGCTTTGACATCCAATGAGTGTTGCACGCGAAGTGTTGAAGAAGAAAGTCCCCGAACAAGAAGCAATAGTCAAGTTCTAGGCAGAGACAGCCTATCAGACTAACCATGTGGCCACCAAAGAGGAGTATGTTTCGTGACACATAACGGATTACGTAGCTCAACAACGGCTCACTGATGAATATATTGGTTGGGAAAGAGGAGAAGATGGAGTGCTGTAAAGTTTCACAGAACATGTGTCGATTTGTTCGATTGTTTTACTGAGGATTACATCATTGCACATGAAACGCATAAACAACTTACATAAAAAAGACGACGTTGAAGTCGTACTATATTTATATTTATCCATGTTATGTATTCATCATTCGTATGAAACTGAGACAAACCGAGTCGGATGCCGTCCATAACCCCGCTCCTGTTTATCATTTATTTACTTACTATTATTCAAGTTGACAACTTGTTGCCTCCGTCATCGGATACTGACAACTGAGAAACCCCTCTCTGATAACTCAGCTTAGCTTGACGGACATGACATGACATGGTTTTATTACAAGACAGGCAAAGTGTTTTTCGTATTGAGATGGTTCCCCGGGCTTGGAGTAATTAGTCTAGACTGCGGGGGCTGATCCCAACTAACATGGAGGGCCGTAGCTACGGTACGGTATCAACTGCCCTATACTGTCAAGTGTTGATTGACTAACAGTTAATATCTGGGGGTTATGAGCGACTCAGCTGAGTCAGGTTGTGGGGCTGAATCAGACTAATATGTAATTAACTTGACGTGCTCTAGAAAAGAAAAGAAAAGGCACTCCTTTACTACTTTTGTCTCTTGTTAACTGGGTCTGAGAGAAGAAACAAAAGGACGAGACCGCGTGTCATAACGTGTTCATCCATCCACTTTGTTACATTGCATCTTTCTTGACCGCCGAGTTGAAACATGATCAGAGAGTCGAGTCTCTGTATGTACGTCCAACAAGACCCAGCTTCTCGTAACCGAGCTTCCAGTACGCGGGATAGACTATTATGGAAACGGAGATGGATTTATGGATGACAAGGTATATAGTACAGCATGAATGTGGGGGAAAAGCCCAATGCCAGCATGTCTGGGGGCTCCATTGACCTTACATCGTGCGTTTCGTCTTGGCCTAGGAACTGTCTCCCGTTGACCGGCTCCGTTTTGTTGGTTTTCCGTCTCCGCCAATTTGACGAGGGGGGCTTGTGACTCTATGATAAGGAAGTTTTTTTTTTTTTTCCTTTCTTTTATTGTGTTATGTGTTGTGAAACAATTCGGTCAAATTTGAGGCCCGTCAACAGTGGCCATCCATTATATGAGCTTGCCATGTTGTGGGTTCTCGGTCAGGTTTGGGTCTTCACTTACACATGGCAAACAGTAACTGACGGTCAACGTCTGTAGAGGTCGCATACGATGCGCGCAAGGGTAGATTAGATAATGGTCCATCCGGGGCCTCAAGCCTGTGCATTAGAGCGGCCGAGCACTGTTCTCCCGGTTGACAGTTCCGCTGTTTAGTTACCTGTCTAGCTGTCTTTCGCTATCTTAAACGATGGTCCTTGCTGAAGAGACTCTAGACAACTCCACTTGAGGCTCGCCAACGTTGACCCCTTCAGTCGTTGTCGTTGTTGCGGAGTCGACTTAGTCGCCCCCTTGGAGGTCAAGATCAATTAGACTCAAGGTCAAAAAAGGCAGAGTTTTCACCTTGTTGGTTGTTCACGTTCTCGAATGAGCCGCAGTCTCACCTTGTCTATATCCATGATCCCTGTCCCTTTGGGTCAAGGCTTCAACACCACGGGCCAGTCGTTCTCCCACGCTGCTGTTTGGTTGAAAGTTCGCTTAACTAGGCATGTATTTTATAGTGGGCGGATAACTTCGGCGCAAACAAAAGATTTTTTTTCTTGCTTATCATCATCCATTAAATAAGCCTCTTACAGTCGTGAATGGAGACCACGAGTGCGTGGAGAAGTAGGATCTGTGTTTCCAGCTAACGGAGATCAACTGCCGTGTAGAGTTAGGGTCCTCTACTTTTCTCAACATGGAGCTGACAGAAGCTGGGGGTACTGTAGTTGCCGACTTCAGTCTCGACCGGGACCGGCCCGGCTTGTCAAAGAGATTTTGACAGTGGCCAAGGCTTTTCTCCTCCAGTTTTGTCAATAGTTGAGACATTCATAGCCATTTCAGCGTTGTACAGGTACACCAAAGTCTCGTCATATCAGCAAGGTATTGGCCCTTTTACTAAATAGGGCTTACTATAATTGAACCGAGGCAAGTTGTTAGGTCTGATAACACAATATTGGCATATCATCAAGTTAAAGCAAGGCCAAGGAGGTGGCGGACATGCTTTTACCCGCTTAGTATATGAGAGGATTAAAGATCAGCGTCATATAGACAATATTGAGAAATGACTACATCTTGTCAGTAAATAGCGCCTTGTCTTTTGATTTCATAGGGTATGGGTATGTATTCTCACCGATGACATTAATCAATATGCGGGACTAGAAACTTGTCGCCTGATATCGTCTAATGTCACCTATAGTCATTAGTTCTTGATTTCACCCGAACGGATATACGCAAAGAAATCCACGTATCGCATCTGAATAGAAGCTGCCGTTTGCGGTTGCATGCTTTGTTATGTCTTTCGTGTTGATGCACGTCACGGATCGCCTCATATTTCTGTTGCACCGATGCAACCTTCGAAATGGCTGCCCTGGAGAAGTTATGTTTTTGCGAATGAATACAGAACGCTCACGTAGCGTTATAAATCGGCACACCAAGGGTTGCGGACCATGATGTATTGTAGTCTCATTTCTATATTACCCTACAGACCTCAATATATATTTGCCTGTCAAGTAGAGTGTATACCGGGTATTCCTTGATGGACCAAGACGTCTCTATCTTGAAATCAAGTCTTATCGCTTATCCATATCTACCAATCCTTATCTTTGACATAGCACGATACCATCCTTTATCTAACCACCCCCATCCTCTCTATCCCATACTCATGAGCCTCTCTCCCTCTATGATTCATCCCCCCTCATGTGAACATGCTCGTGATCGCTTATCTCGGTCTTGCTTCTCATTCATGCCTGGTCAAGCTAGTTATTCAGCCAGCCATCTTATCCTTCCAAGTATGGGGGGTGAGAGGAGGCCGATTTACCATATCCAGTAAATGGTGATCCTCCACACACCAACAAAGTTCCCGATAGCTACTGCAACTATGTATTTTGGACCACACACTACCCCACGCTCACTTACAGGCTCGGCGATCAAGGGACCAAAAAGTGAGCACGCGCCATAAGAACCCCGAATAAAAGTAGCCAATAGATAAGACTATTCTCTAGTTCTTCTGTTACAGAAGGGAACCGTCCTTGGGATCTTCAAGGTTGATCATCACTTCTGTTTGTCGTCATTCCTCCTCGGGGCAAGACCGAGACTACAATGCACTGGCTTTGACCACGTCTGCGTAGTCATTTGAGATTCGGCACTTGAGGCAGATCCTCATCTGTCACGACTGAAGACGATGGCATCATCAGTCTTCATCACCAGGACCCTGGAGATGTTACGCGTTGTCATGTCATGTTATGTTGAGCCACATCATTGTTTGCGTGTGGCTGCTCCAGCCTCCAAGTGTACGTATCGGACATAGAACTCAACCAGTTAGACTTGACGAACCGTAAAGGTCTCAACAGTCGAAACGATCAACGTCACAAAGCCATCCTCTTGCACAAGTACAGTTCTAGGTTATATAACTAATTGTGTCACTTGTCCAAATGATGGCGTCTCAGCAAGTATTCAACTGCCGATGGTCCATCAACATCGAGTAATTCAAGCCCCTCATGTCGCGATCATGACACAATTCAAGAGCCGAGTCATTCATCATTTGCTCAGCCTAAAGAAGGACTAAAGGCTCTGACAATGTGCCTGCAGCACAGCTGTTCCGCCTTGCAATTCATTCATTAAAGAAGCTATGTTATCGTATCACAACCCAAATTGCAATGTCAGACATCAAATCCATCGCAACGTTCATTCAGTATCTACTGCAATGATAGAACGTGGAACATCCTTCTCATCTGATTAGCACATAAGAAGGAAAGCTTAGACGACACAGCGTAGTTATAAGTTTCGAGAGCTTGCAACTTTAGTGCCAGTCCGTTAATTTGGCAAAAGACCCTGCCTGAGTTTGCCGATAAACTTGCTTCTTCCCCTTCCCAACAATATAATGCTTTAAGACTCCTCCTGTACGACATACAGTACTAATTTGACCAACACATGCCGGCAGTCTATTGGTGCATCATGCACGACACATATCTTAGGGCAATGAATACCTTGGTATGGAAAGTTGCTAATGAAGCGGTGAATCGAGACTAAACAAGCCATTCAAGTTTGAAATTGTACTCATCTCGATCTTCCTCTATGCAAGTAAACAATGACTCAATAGTCCACCCTCTCTTGTCTTCGACCTGTTATATCCGGAAGAGAGAACCCAATCGTTAATTGTTGGGCGTTTGTTTAGGCTTCATGCGCGTCAGTTGGAGCACGCAACTACGCTAGCTCGGAAACCGAACTACGGTGAGCTCAATGAGCTGAGAACCCTCACGAGATTTTAAAGATGTGTTCTTTCTACATAATTCAATAGCGTTGTTTGGCATAAGGCAAATGTAATGACCATGATGATCTCATATGACACCACACCGCCATTGCATAGAGTGTCTTGAAATCATGACCTTGGTTCAGGCCGTAACTAATAGGATAGAATGGTACTCGCAGAAAGTCACTGGTACATGTTAATACAGATCATGAAGGACCAAGACTTATGAAGCCACGGGGCAAAAACTGCGATGACAATAAGCCCCTGGCTATTGGACTGTGTGGCTATAGTCTGTGCTGACTCTTTTTGACTTTAGACTGGTCTTGAGTAGACTTCAATTCCCCTTTCTTTGGCAAGAAATTAACGTGTTGGTGTTAGCCTCATCATCAGACGATAACGTAATGCGGCAGATTAACATACACGCCGAGAATACCCTGAAGTGCTGCATGAATATGGATCATATGTCTTTCGCAATATACAGGTATCTTGTTGCAGATGAATTCGCATAAGTCTGCCAGGTCACCATTGAGCGTTAAACACCAAATTGTTGTCAAGTGCCCAGCACGATATTGATTTAATGTTTTTGAACTTTTGATCATTTGAGCCTTGGGTCTTGCGTCTTCGCTATGCACCAAGCAAAACAAAAACCACAAACCTCAAAGCAGACGATGATATATATGATAAGACACAGGCTCACAAGGGAGTGAATGTGAGCCATGATTACAAAAGTTGATGTTCCCTGAAATATCCGCTTGCATGCTATACCCATCCAAAATACTCCATAAACCCCTTCATTCATGATACTGATATTAAGAAAAAAGCTAAGACGTCAGGCCCGAAGTATCAGGCATAATAAAAGAAAGTGATTATATGTTAGGGCCGTTATGGGTGATAATATGTCTGGTGGGTGGGTTGTCCTGAAACAGAGGAAGTGTGTCTTTCGGCCGCAAGTTCTTGAGGACCATCGGACGTGAAGTATCCTGTTCCATTCTTCGACGAGTTGGAGCCCACAGTCCCGTCGTAATAAGGAGGGCTTCCTGGAGAGTGAAGCTGATCTGGTATTTGTACCGTGCTTACTTGAGGAACCCAGAGATTCCCATGAGCATCGTATTTTGGCTCAAGTGTTGTTGTGACTGTTTGAGTAAGCGGCGAGCCACGTGTAGTATCCTCCATATCTCCAGATGGAAGTTCCACTGGTGGCCCCGTATATGATCGAGCCGCTTGAGGGCTAGCGAAAGGACTCGCAGGATTGAAGCTCGATGATTGCGGGCTCCAAGGACCAGACGAGCACTGGTTTGAGACGATGGACGGGTGCGTAGGGTGGTGATAATTGTAATCCTGCGCCATTGGCTGTTGAGATCCAATTCGTTCGCGTCGAGCTCGCCGTTTTCGAATGAGACAGAACGACGCCAAAATTATACCTATAAGAACAACTGCTCCGCCGACCGCTATGCCTGCTATAGCCCCAGTCGGCAGCTTGTTCTCCGATTCGGAATCCCCCGTCGCAGTCGCGCCGGATACGTTTCGTGTTGCTGTTCGTGTCCCCGCTGAAGCTGTTCGTGTCATAAGAGCATTGAGATCTTGGTGGTCGAAGCCACCTGCCGGCGCTGTTTTGGTTGCACCGCCCTTGGAGTTTCCGCCCACAACCGAGATAATGTCCGTTGGGACAGCGTATTGAGTCAACTCGGGGTCATAGAGCATCCAGGGTGACTTGTTCTTGTTCTGTCTGCCAAGGGAGACGTCATGTAGGCCCCATTGATCCGGAACGTCGCAGTCATTGTTGAGAGGGAAAAAGCCACCATGAACAAACATCTGGGCCTCGTTTACCACGTTGCAGGACATGCTGTGATGGGGGTAGCTTCCGGTCCCATTCTCATTGGGGTACATTTTAATCCATGTGAACGTGGGCAGTGTTAGGATATAAATGTCGTCGAATCCAGCGCTACCTTCTTCTTGACCAGCACCTCCATACAGGTAACTAAAGAACATCCTTGTCAGAAAGCCATCCGCTCAATCCGGTCAGGGAAACTCACATATTGTAGGAAGATTGATCATCCACCCACGTAGCACCAGCGCAAAATCGTCGACGTGATTCTGGAATATCGCCCGTTGCATTTTGGAAATAACTCTTGCCGCTCAGGACATCATACAGGATAATCTGTCCCATCGGCTGGCCCTCCCAACCGCCGTCATCAGTAGCACGGATTCCTCCAAGGTAGACAAGCATTCCACCGTCTCCGGCAGGGATGTGGACCATGACACCTTCTGCACGACCTATATCATCCGGGCCAGTGTCGTTGGACCAGCTGTTCGTGTCCATCTCGTATCGCACCAGGTTCGACGTGGGTACCTGGGGAGCATCACCCCAATCAGGGACTGTCGCGTTGTTCATCCATCCGCCGTAATAGTAAGCCTCTCCACGGTCCGGAATGGAAACGCCAGCTCCATAACTGAGTCCGACGATATTGTCGGTCCTAGAAACTCCGAGGTTGTCCCATTCGTCGTTGATAATGTCGTATGCATATAGATCAAAGTCCCAAGGCGTCACATCGTTATATTCGCCGCCAAAGAGATAGATCTTCTTGTTGATAGTGTCGGGCCAGAATATCCCACCACTAACGTCTGGTACTGTCGAGTTCTTACTCAAATTCGCGTATGGCTGAGGCATGCCTGTACCGGCGGCAGTTCTCAAATCATGGTAGAGAAAGTAAGGATCTAAAAGAATTAGTTAAGAAACAAACGGTGTAACCCACCGTCGCGAGTCAGGAATTTTCACGTACTCGAGACGTTCGGTGGTGTTCCTGAACTACCATCATAGGTGACCAATCCTCCGCCGATGTAAAGCTTTTCATCTACCACAGCACTTTGATGTCCCCATCTTCGGCAGAAATTTGATATGGGATCCCTTTGCTGAACTGTGAGATTGACGAAAAGGAACAATAATGATAGAACCGTGAGGTTCTGGCGAAATTGGCTGGCGGGAGAGATTGAGATCCACATCATGGCTGCCACCGTGATGCTACATACATACTCTCCTGGCCTATTTGTTAGTCTCAGACCGCGGGAGACGAACGAGGTTTGACCTGGGCGATCGTCGTTAAAAGAAGAATGGCCGTATGTGTGATGAAGAGAGAGAAAGGTTGACGGTGCTAGGCCGCTGGACGAGAAAGAAGATGGACACTTGCTGATCGTTCATGAGCAGGGGCCAGGAGGGATCCGCTGGGGGGCAGAAATGCTCAAGCCCATTGCGGTGAGAAATGCTACAGAGCAATCTCATGTTTTTCTTTCCGGCTACCACATAACCTTGCCGGTAGATGAGAGTGGCTCAGACGTTATCCGGGGCTGACCTTGTTGCGAGGTCTAGACTTCCTAGTCCGACGCCTCAAACGACTCGACGGCGTCAAGGACTACACTTGCAGCGGGTGAGAGCGCACTTTGGATGAAGCAGGAACTGCAAAAACCACTCAGCGCTCAGAACCTTGGCGTTCCTGGTTGCTAGCTGGTCAACCATGGTGAGACGACGGATGCCCCCGAGCTGCTCGTGGCACCAGCGGGCGTTGCTAGCCCGTTGGGTGCTGATCGTGATTCGTGCAGAGCAGGGAGCTGGACGCAGCTAGGGGACTCAGAATGAGGAAATCACCAATTGTTATACGGGCTTGTATTTCAGCTCAGATTCACAGAGTAGAATAAACTCAAAGGTAATCGGCCTGCCCGTTGGGGCGGTTTGCAGGGCTGAATGGGGTGGAGCCCACCTGTCTGAAGCCCCGTAGGTTTCTGATCTACTGCACCCAGACTAATAAGTTCAGGATCGATAGTGTTAATGACAGGATGATTGTCGCTTTGACGTTTCATTTCCAGATTTCTTCAAGATGTGTTTTGTGTCAGGCGGGGCCGTTCTGAGTTGATAATAAGCATATTGAACCGACCCGTCAGTCTGGTATCAGTAGTGATCCGTTGTCAAGGTTCCACCACAATCTCCTATTGGGCTGTATTTTTCTTCCCCTGCCTCCGTCTCACCTCACTTCAACAAGGTTATCGGCATATTTCCGGGCTCAGTAATTTATTGTACGAGGCATAAGCCGTACCCATCCATTTATCATGGAACTTGGCAGCTCCGATGCTACGCAAAATCTTTCATCCAACTGTCATCTTGTACTCGGTGCCTAATTTCCGATAGCCCTCAGATCTAGCATGACACAGCCGGCAAAGTCGAGGTTTGCCGGAAGTACAGCTTTGTCTGGAGGCACAGCTAAATTGTCTATTGCAACCTGAAAAGCCTCAGCAACGGTTGCGTCTGGTTGGTGTCCTGAATCCTCTAGTCTATCTCCGTCTCTTGACCCTCCAATCTCTCCAGCGGCAAAAAAGTGTATTTCGTGCTCGAGCAGGGCCGCCGCCCCCAAATGACCAAGCAGGACTATGTAGGCTCGGTAGGCGTCCAAAGCTTTTTGCGCCATGTCCTCTCTGGATTTATCTTGTAACAAATCGAGTATAAGCGATCGAACCGTCGGGGGATCTTCTTGATCTACGTCGCCAACTAATAGCTTCAGGAGCGCCTCCCGGTCCTTCACGTCAAGCTTGTTTGACTCAGGATCCGTGGTGAAGTGGCGCATGTATGTTCCTAGAACCTGGACTATGTCTCCTATTCCTTGATCGCTGGAGCTCCAGTGGTTGATCTCGGATCCCATGTTCAAGTATTGGTGAGAAATCGTGGGAACGCAAATCTCAGCCGAGAGCTTCATTCCGAAGCCACATAAGGGTCCTCCTAGATGCTCTTCTCTGGCTGATAATCTTTGTCCAAGATTGCCAATAAAAGTTAAAAGGTCACAAGTACTCTGCGGGACATTTGGCTGCCAGAAACTCTCGCACGCAGTTCGAACATCCAAAGATAGATCTAGCTGTGAGTCTTGTTGAGCGTTGTGTGCTTGGTAAAAAGCGATGCCATTAGGATTGCATGATAAGTACTGCGACACTAGCCTGCGAAGGCTTGTGAGCGAGTCTTGGCTCCCCAGTACTTCTGATAGCTGGCTCGCAGAAACCTCAGGACCTGTCTCGGATTTGAACAAGCTTAATCGTGACTGAAACCGCTCAAGAAGCAGTGAACCACCATTATGCAGAGCCTCTGCTTCAATACCATTATTCGAACAAAGCAGGTGGAGCTTGCTGGGTTGTGTCTCGGCAGTCGAAGTGCTAATGGCGCCTTGCGAGTAGCCGATCAGTGGAGATCGTGATGGGGCCCGGAGAGCCGCGGAGAAAACGTCGTAGCTTCCGAGTCGCCAGGAATTTAATGGTCTCGATCGTGCTTCGAAGACCCTCAACCTCGATTCGTCCAACGTCTTTTCGAGCTTGTAAAGATTTTTTCGAATGGCCTTTTCCTTCGGATTTCGTGACCACAGTTTAAGTGCCTGTATGTCATCCTTTTCTGTAGCTGGTCGCACGTGCTTGCTAAACATGTCGTCAAGGTCAAGCAGAAGGCCATTGGCCTCAAAGTAATCGTTTTCTGGAGGCGATTTTGGAGCGTGTGACCACTTGTTGAGGACATAATATATCTCGCCCGACCTTGGATCCGTCTTTTTGATAAACATCTTGCGCCGCCCCATCAGTTTGGAGGTTCCGTCTGCTGCTTGACGAAACATTTTTGCGAAGAGGTACTGCAGCGCGTGTGAAGGTGATGGTTTGGTGATTATCCGACCTCACAGCATGGCAAACGCCAGCGCCAGACTTGAGGAAGTGTAGGTGCAGAGGAAAGTGTCAGGTGGAGAGTTGTTTTCTGTTGAGGGAAGAAAACAAAGGATGCTCAGTTTTGCAACGCCTGGATTGCTGTTTTACTACGTAATCATCACCCCCGCAAAGTGAAATAGACCCCTGCTGGTAATGGTTCGTTTTGGACAGTTTGCTCGTTGTGAGAATGATCTTTCAGGCAGGTGCTCTCGCCCTAGTCCTGCTTCTAAAAAGCGGGAAGGAGCGGGTCACCCCGCAAATTCAGCCAAGCGAGCAGGAGGGTTCTTGACAGAACTGTAGGTCAAGTCAAGTCGAACATTATATCTCCCTCTTAAATTTCTAGCGACTGCCATTGACCTCGTCTTGGAATTATTGGACCGTAAAAAATATCTTTAGAATTTCTAGTTTCGTCTTCCTGATTGCAAGGGCTGCGGCTAAATAGAGTAAGTTCACCTATACATTTGAGTATCTGGCAACTCACTATCGACATTTACCAGACAAGTATCAGATGTGACCAGTTAGTGGTTTCAATCGGGGACTACATACATGTATTCTTTCAATGCATTGAGTTCCTTTTATGTTCTCTTCTTCGAGATTATGAGAATGAATCTTAAGTTTACTTCTTCCAAGGTAACAATAGAAACAGGAACTTGGTTGATTTAACAGGTCTAAGAATCACATTAGTGTAATATGCTTAGCGTGGTAGCTGAACTTACCTCGTCCATTATGGAAGTTATAATGCCACAAACTGAGAAATAATAATGTTCCTCTAGTTTGAAAAGTATGCGACACGCATATCCTACCTAGTAAGGAACTGAATCACTATTATATCTTTGTTCACATCTTGTGCTTCGCTTGGGAGTCTCATGGCCTGTATCAATTAGATTCCCAAGTTGACCTAAGTCAGTGGTAGCTTCTGCCCTGTTACCCCGTCTCAAATTCGCCCAGTCACTCTAGACGCGCCCGCTGTGTTTGTCTTGGTTATACCTATCAGTTGTTGCACACATTAATTTCTGAACTCTAGCCATGAAGGTCAGGGCCAGATTGATATTGCGATACTTATTTGGTACTCAAGAAAATAAAAGTCAGTAGAAACTACAAACTCCCTTCTGACTAGGGTACAAAAAGAATTGGCCGCATGAAAGATGAAATTAGGAGGACAGCTTATGCCATTTAAATTAGGCTTCTTAGGATTTTTATTTTTGTTCTCTAAAACTTAGAAAGCTCTTCTGAATTCCTTCTACGTAGTAAGTAATATATATATTTAATTTTTATTATAAAGTCTAATACCGACTTTTTAATTCGATATTTTTGACTTTCAAAGTCTAATGATGACTTTTTCCACAATATCCATAAAAGCACTGTCCAGTAGCACACTTCTTCCTTCAGTCACACTCCACTTTCATCCTTCAATCAATCAATCCGACACACTCACTCAAACCCACTTCATACAACATCAACATCATGGCTTCAGGTACACCAACAAAGGATTCGCCCGTCGAAAAGACGGATGATACGACGCAACAAAGCGCCCCCGATAATGCATCAAAAGCACAAGATCGTATGGCTCGATTCAAGGCCCTTCAAGCACGAGCCAAGACTTCGTCAGAGAAAAACTTACAAGAGGCAACCCTCGAATCGCAAAGATTAGCCACAGATCCCAGCCAACTCACCGCCCTACACCGCAAGCATGCGATCGCATCACACAAACTACTCAAAGCAGACGTGGAAGAATCCGGCGGAGATTTCGAGCGAAAGCGCGCGTGGGACTGGACCGTCGACGAGAGCGAGAAATGGGATAAGCGACTCAAGAAGAAGGCGGCTCGTCGCGACAACAACGCTTTCGCCGACTTTACACAAGAAGCGAACAAAGTATACAAGCGACAACTTAGGAACATCGATATGAATGTGGAGAAGTACGAAAAGGACAAGCAGGCTCTCATTGAAAAGGCAGCGGCATCAGGCGGTCTGGATATCGTCGAGACCGAGGACGGCGAGCTCATCGCGGTAGACAAGGACGGTTCCTTCTACTCTACTGCTGATTCTACGACATTTACTGAAAACAAGCCAGACAAGGCAGCAGTCGACCGCTTGGTGGCGGACTTGCAGAGAGCAGAGGAACAGCGACTAAAGAAGAGAAAGGAACGTATGGCACAGAATGGAGACGATGGCGACGTGACCTACATCAACGAGAAGAACAAGCAGTTCAACCAAAAGCTGTCCCGATTCTACAACCAATACACTGCGGAGATCAGGGATAGCTTCGAACGAGGAACAATGATCTGAGAATGGGAATACAACAGGTTACGTCATGGGTTGATTCGGGTATTGTTCAGTCTAGCGTTTTGCTTTTAATACATTATCTCATCAGAACCGTTTACAACATGGTTTTTCTCCAAGCTTTACTTGCAAGCTCCTCAATCTGTGGCACCTCAATAGCTCCCTTGACACTCTCGTCACTCAGTGCCTCAACTACTGCTTCGGCAACAGCCTCGACCTTCAAGGGCTTGACGCCGGCGGCACCAATAAAGTTCTTGAAGTAGTTGCCTGTCAAGCCGTTAAAGGCAGTGCCGACACCTACCATAGCAGCCAGCGGCATTGTCATTGGGCGTGAGCTGTCAAACAAAAAGGAAGGACGGACAAAAAGACTCCTGAGTTCAGGGAACTTGTTGGCAATGGTGATCTCAGCCTCTCGCTTAGTCGTGATGTATCGCTGGGGAAGAACAGGAGCGCCAGCTGCAGCAGAGATGTAGCAGAATGAGTTGACCTTGGCAGCAACAGCATGCTTGGCCAGGGTAACTGCACTATCGCGGTTCATAATCTCATATGTGAACTGATCCTTTGGGTTTGGGGGGTTGATGTCCTCGCCTTGCCCTTTAGCCAAAGGGTCCACACCACGATCGCGGATGGGAGCAAAGGCTTTCTGAAGACCAGCCACAGGTGACTCCTTGCCTGAAAGAACACCCTTGTAATCGGCTTCTAGAAGGATACCCATGCTGTGAACAACGAAATCGGCACCATTGAGTAGCGGGGCATAGGTAGCTGGGCGAAGAATATCACCACGCTCCCAGCTCACTTTGTGTGCCCAAGGTGGAGGTGAAGGAGATGCACTGATGGTGTCCCATCGAGGATCACCTGAACGACTGTAAAATAATGAGCTGTTGTTCTTGTCTGGGGTGGGTTGGGATGTTTGTGAGCTTTACCTGATCGACGTCACGTCCCAACCTCGAGCTACAGCATATTTGCAAATACGCGAGCCCAAAAATCCTGTTCCTCCGCAAACAACAAGCTTCTTTGAAGCTGACATGGTGCTGGTATAAAAGTGGTGCGATGTATGCTAGGAAGCTTCAGAGCTTAGAAAGGCTCGTTTAGTAGGATTGGTGAAGTTGAGATGAAGCACTTTGAATGAATTACTTCTCTTGAAAATAAGGAAAAGTGAAAGAAAGAGTTGTGACGTGACAATTGAGTATCAGTCCAAATACCGACGTGGTATTGAAGCTCTCGATCGATGGGAGAGCGAAATCAATGAAATCATCATCGGTACTTGTCGAGGCTGCATGAATTTGTGGCTGTCCTACGATTATTGGTCGCGCCACTGAGGCGTAAAACATTCCACCTACGAGGCTGAACCACAGGTAGGTTTCTACTTTACCATCAACCATCAAATTACAGTCGCATCATCAACGTCGTTCTAAATCCCATGCGTCGATACATTGTCCGAAACAAATAAACAAAATCTTCAAATAAACATAATGGCGCCCCAAAATCAGCACGGAAAACGCGTGAAACTAACGCAAGTCCGCCGGCCTTTTATCGTAGGAAGCACAGCAAAGCCCTTCTCCGATACGAATCCACGACCAGCAGGAATTCCTGACAACCACACGCATTCATGGCAGGTCTTTGTCAAAGGTCTCGACGACACCGATATCACATACTGGCTGCGCCGTGTACAGTTCAAGCTCCACGAATCCATCCCCAACTATGTGCGAAGTATGCGACCACTCCAAGCCTTTGCGCAAACCGATGCTGACAGAGAATAGTGGTCGAGGGTGAACCTGGAAAGCCTTTCACAGTCGAGGAAACAGGATGGGGAGAGTTCGATATAACAATCAAGCTCTATTATGTCAACGAATCAGGCGAGAAGCCACAGACTTTGTATCATTATTTGCGTCTACATCCCTACGGACGAAACGAAGAAGAGAAGCAAGCGATGATCTCATCCAACGGAGAGATCTGCTCATGGAGCTACGAAGAACAGCTCTTCAACGAACCCTACGAAGCTTTCTACAACCTCCTTACCCAAGGCGCCGTACCCAAAGGATGGAAGCCCAGCGGCGGCAAGGGCAAGGGCAAAACGCGCGCACCACCACCTTTCCCCACGGACAACAACGAAGTTTGGGAACATTCCGCCATGATACCGGCGCATAACCGGCCGGGACAGCCGTTCAGCCTGGAAACGGAAGCAGCTGAGATACGCAAGCTAGCAGAGGCGCAGACGCAGGCTGAGGATATGGCTAAGAAGATCCTCGCCGAGCTAAAAGCCAAAGAGGAGCTCCTTGCTAAGCTCAAGGGAGAGAACCAGGCTGCTGCCGCTGCGGCCAAGTCATAGGGTGCTGGCCGGGCAATGCCCAATTTACCTAAACTGAAGAAATGAGCATTTCATCTTCCAAACGCAAAGTCCTTAGTAGAGCCTTGAGGACCGTCTTTCGGTACTTGAACCCAGAACACAAAGCACATAATTGTGCCTATGATACTGTTCATTGGCGGGGCATCATTGATCACAACAGAAATCATTGGAGAGATTCGGCATAGTCAGTAAGAATTACATTGGTTCTGGATCAGATCCAAGCATGTACAGAAGCGCCGAGCCAAGAAAGAAGAGTTAGTCATGGCAGTAGTTATACCCCAGATTACCAGTCGTTAGGCCGAAGACATGAAGATATGTTTACCCAGATGGCAGATTGGTTTTATGAGCATATACAATAAAAAACACATCACTTTGAAATGCACCATTCGTGTTCATCGTTGTGAATTGGAGTTTGTTCTGGAGTGCTATGAGGGCGCTATGCAAACCCAATCTTAGCCTCAGTCTTGTATCCTAATATGATGATATCAAACAGATATCGCAACGAACTGCTTGATCGTCCTTTCTCGGTCTGTCTCGCCAACCTTTTTATAAAACAATGATAAAGACTTGCATGAACTTGTCATGAGTCACCCTCCTGGGGTCTACCGCCCACTACAAACAGACAACTGCATCGTGACGTAGAAATATATGGCTGAACGACAGAACCAACACTCCGAATGCCGACCTTAAACCACAACCGGCCACACCTTTTTTCCCCTTCCCACCTCTTGTAACGCCAACAAATATCATAAACATAAAGAAATTGACTTGTTCAGGTCGTCTCCGCGACCGAAGGCTCTCCAAACTCCAGCGCCATTTTATAAAGAATGAAAAAGACAAGATTTGAGCGAGTGGAATGGTTTTGTACGCCCTGTTTTGGGCAATTTACTGTTGGGTAAAAAGGAAATGTCCTCTTGACTCCCAAAGCAGTACTTTGATATATGATTAACAGTTTGCACTATTATCGAGTAGCAGCCTCGTATGCTGGTGGCGGAGCGTCTTCGCGCTCCTCGTCCCAGGGACTGCGTTGTCTGTTCTTCTCATCGTAGACACGCTTGGCGATCTCACCAGCCATCTTCATGATCCATGCCTGTTCAAGGATAACAGAGGGACTCTCAGAGCTGACACTTTGGTTTTCTAGACCCGGGTGCTTGCCCTTCTCAGTTCTGAATCCAGAAGTGGCGGCAGCAATAGATGAGTATTGAGGTTCAGGCTGAACGGCTTGTTTGAGTGGGGAGCCCATCTGTTGAGCATTCTGAAGGTTGGCCATGACAGGAGGACGACCCGCCTCTTCTGCACTTCTGAAGCGGACCTTACTAGGGGTGGCCGCCTCAGCGATAACAGATGACTCACTCTCTTCAGGGATAGACTCCTCAATCACTGGGTCTGTTAGAGCATTATCAGCGGAAGCTGTATCCGAGGCTTCACTGCCTTCTTCAGGAGTAGCTGCCTCTGATTTGGTGCGTCTCAGGTTTACGACGCGTGTCTTCTTCTTGCGTCCTGCTCGTGATCGTCCAGCCCCAAGAGCTCGTCCATTCGTGGCAGAATTCATACTGATAAGCGAGGGGCGAGATGGGAGTTGTCCGTGGGCATTGCTTGCAGTATCCGAAAATGTGTATGTTGTCGAATTGCCTGCATGGAACGACATTGTCTTGGTGAGACTGGGTGTCGAAGCTAGGGGCGTTGATGTTTCCGATCGATCGCCATAGCCTGTCCAAGCCCGGAAAACGACATCACGAATACCAGGAGTGAAGAGGGACAAGGTGCGGTGAGAATCAGTCAAGGCAGCAAGTCGCAACAGGTTCTTCTGAGAAAAGAGTGACTGAACCTCGCCGCTCCCAGTCAATGTAAGTTCAGAGATATCATTGGGGTCGAGAAGGTTTCCATTGGCGTCCACAGGATCCAGTGGTGGGCTAGCCAGAGGGTCAACACCAGCTTCATCCTCTGTTTCTGTAGGGGTTTCGGTGCCCTTGTTTGCTTGATCGGGACACCACAATTGGAGGGACAGTCTATGGATAATTGCTGGTAGTTCATCCATCATCAAGTTCCGTAATTGTTGTTCAATAGTTCGTTGCAAATAGTCGCGTACGAATTGTATCGAGTCAAAGGTAGAAGATACCTTGAGGGATTCGAGTGGGTCATTTCGAAAGACGAGGGTGAGACCCTTTTGCTTGGAAAAGACGAGGATGATGAATGCCGAAAGCTTGAAATCCGATAGTGTGATCGAAAGTGGAATAGTCAACCCAGAAGCAGCGGCCAAGGGCTGAGGAGATGTGAATGTCGGTTTAGAGTAGAGGTATGTGTTTAAAGGATTTGCCTGGGTCGTCTTGTTAGTGGCTGCGCTAAGACAATTGCATGAATGGAATCACGGGCAAGGATGCCAATGGGAAAATAGGTGTTTGGCAGGGGTGAGGAGGGGTTTCATGCGCATTGTCGTAATTAAACAATGTTGCATCAGAACGACGTAGTGAGTCAATGGGTAAGTCGAACTCGAGGGGAAGTGGGAGGTTGTTGATGTAGAAGCTTGAAGTTTGGTGGTGGGATGGCATTCGCGTCACGATCTCCGCACTGCGGATTGCCAAGATATTCGAGGGATCATGAAATTGTTTCTGGAGCTTCGGAAGCTTTGGAAACAAATGCATGATGGGGAAATATTGAACCAGACTGCAACGAAATATTGCAGAATGATTGAGAATGGTATAAACGTACTTGAACTCTTGTCTTGAGTGTCAGAAAGGCATCACCAGAATATGTCATCTTGAAGATGCCTCGGAATCGATCCTCTGCAAGGTCACCAATCTCCAAGATTTCCAAATCGGGGGGTACGGTTCCGAGGTTAAATTCGCTGACGAGGATATCATCGACAATAATGGGCGGCTTCGGACTCTTATTGAGAGCTTTGGTCAAGAGGTCGCGCGCTCGAGCGTAGAAGTCGGCATCCGCTGTTAGCGGCGACCAGTTGAAGTTGAAGGCCATGTTGAAATGGCGTTCACCTTCTAACAGTCATGGGAGAGAGTAATGAGGTGCCGTTGAGGTTGGCGGCTATGACGAAAGCTCGAAGCAGGCGGGAGCTCGAAGTGAGGCGCGTGCTTGGACGGAGCTCGGAGGCGAAAAAAACTACTGAGCGAGCGTATGTAGGAAAGTCTCGGAAGTCGTCGGGCGGAAGGTATCGATATCGGTAGGTGATTAAGAGAGGCACACGTGAGAGGATTTATCGAGAATGACAGGCTCGACAAAGGACGACGTGAAAATATTACAGGCAAATTGGTGATGATGGCAAAGAGGAGAAAATAAAACAAAAACGGCTGGTTCAGGTAGGATAGGATAGATAGAATAGGATAGGATTTCCCAAGAGTGCGGATCGTGGGGATGACGCTACAAGATTCCCCGGGCAAACAGCTCAAGGATGATTGGGAGAAGTGAGGTCGAAAGTGGGGAGCTCAGTGCTGGACTGCAACAATTTTTTCCCTCTCAGGGCTTAAAACAGTGATTTTGACTGGCGTCCAAGGGAGGGTTTTAGTGGGTAACGATAACAAGACCGCTGTAAACAATAAAAAAAAAAAAAGACTCTGAGACGCCTGAGCCTGGTCCTGGTCCAGGTAAAGCTGAAGCGCGACGGTAAAACAACCGAGAATTGACGTATTAAGCGCAATATGGTTGGTTCGTTAATCGGCTGTGCGAGGAAAACATGGACCGTTTCAACCCGGTATTCTACTATGGACCGTACGGGGGAGGGGGAGAAAATGTGCAATAAATCAGTAGTTTGATAGAAATATGTAGGCAGCCGGGGTCTTGTTTATAAAAATATTCTGGCGGTGAGATCCAATCTTCAGTGTAGGTGGCGTAGGTGCGATATTAATGGAGGGAGGGAGTCTATGTCCGTAGCATTGTGAGTTGTTAATGCATGTAGCATTGGAGACTACTGTAGGTCGAAGGTTTCAGATGGTCTGAGCTGTCTGGACTGTGATTCAAGAGATTCGTCCGTATCCCCGTACCTCCGGACTTCGGTACGAATGAGTTGATCGACTCAACTTGAGGTCCACAATGACAAAATCAATGCCGGGGGAGTCGCGTGATCTCCGAGATGAGTTCAATGTGCAATTTGATGCGAACTTTTAATATAGATAAAAATAATATATAACAAAATAGCATATAGCGAAACGACGTTTCAGTCTAGAACCCCAGGTCGCAATGCGTTATGCGGGGATGCATCAACTGGTAAATCAGGTTGGGTTGGCTTGGGTCGAATTGATACGACCATCATGAGAAACGTGCAGATGTGCCAACTTTGTATAATTCGTGGTGCTCTCAAGTTCCCTGCAACCCCGTGTTCTGGATGCGAACGTGCAGTAAAGAATTTTACTTCCCTCGCATCCTTTCTCAAAAGAGGCGTCGTCACTATCAGATGATTGCACCCTGGTTCATGGTAAAGTGGAAGATCCGTTGTGTCGTGGGATGACCTTCTGTATCAGGTGGTTCGATTTCGTCCATATTTTCTGGGGAAGCACATCTTACCTGACCCAGGAGCTTTATAAAGCTTAGAGATATCTCCTTATAGTAATTCTGTGCCATAGGGTGTCGCCTAAAACGTTCATATGGTGCATCTTGTCGCATATATTCTTCCCAAGCCGAACGACGGGCTAACGGCACATCCCGGCCTTCTCCGGCCGGTTACCGACCCTGAAGCCGACCTCCTCACTTTCACTCGCACTTTGATATCCATCCATGCAAGCACTTCCCACCAACGGTCAATGTCCGATAAGAGAAAAGGGGATATAGACCGGGTAGGAACGGGAGTGTAAGAAAAGTGGCATGTATTGCATTTACATCTGCATTGCATAGTATGTAGATGAAGGGCAATCAGCCATTAGTCTCTGGGCTGTATGCGTGATTTGATCATGCGTAATGCTGTACAAGCAGTAGGATGTAGAGCAGCGCAAACAAACTCTACCCCGCGATGTGATGCTCGCAAGCTAAGAACATCTTGGAGATTGTCTTAAACCCCCAACCAAGCATTCCTCTTTAACAAAATGAGGGGTTCAGTATCATTTGCTGTAGACTTTAGCTACAGGCTTATCGCCTTTCATGCGTCTTATGTCTCTGAATCTGCGGCTGTCATCAAGATCGTGATGCTTACCTCGAGTAATTGGTCATCGCAAGTGGCTGAAGAATGTCTCTGAACTTCTTCTTTTGTGTATCTTCTCTCCCACTTCGAGAAGAGTGTCTGCTGTGTTCCCCACACCATCAGTACCAAAGTGGCAGACCACAACGGCAACGGCTTTGCTCTAAATGGACATGTAAGGCACCAGCTTGGTGAGACGATAAATCTTACCACCTGACAGTTGACCAGGATTTATATTGGCTATTCTCCTGTCAACCCAGCTCAAAAGGGCACTCGGTCGTGGAGGTGCTGTACATCAGGAACTGAGATAGGCGGTATTTCATCCCTGGAGTTTCACAAGCTGATGTCCTTGTGCAACCCCAACCTCCACTTTCAAAATAATCTCCGATGCGTTTCCTCTGTATTTGTAGATGGTTGAGATCATTGGATGCCTCGAATGAAACATAGCGGATACTGGATCAAAGTTTCATTGCTCCAAGGCCATTTGCGTCAAAGCACTTGCGGTCGGGCAAGTCACAGGAACCCGTTGCAAGCATTTGCTGCTACGCTTTGAGGCCTTTGTGTACATCCCGGCCAGATTCGTTTCCAAAGCACCTATGATAGGATCAGAGCTTGAGCAATGAACATGTTTGATCTCCACGTGCAAGTTAAGCAGCGTGGATTGAAACGTTGGGCGATCTGTTAGGGTACGCGCTAACACACTCCACGCTGGATAATCCCAGCAGCCCGGCATTGTGCTCGGCGATTGACGCTCATTCGCGACACGGCTGAGCAGAAGCACAGCAGAAGCAGAGGAATGCAGTCATTTGCATGTCCAGGGTCCCGTGATCGTCACCAGCGGTGTCTTGAACAAATTTCTCAACCACCAACGACAGAGCACATTCTGGGGTGAGAGTGCATCACCGCCAGCTTGGGTGACATCATTCCCCGGCGAGACCGACGATCGCGTGCCTGTTGAGCCCCAAAACCGTTCAGGGGCATCAGCCAGTAACTGCAGGATGCGATAGACGGAGGCCTGAGCAGCCCGATTTGAGTCATAGCCATCCGTGGCGGCGGCTCAGAGCAGTTTTTGATATGCCACGCTGCTGGTAATTCTCCATTTGCTATGTGCTGTCCAAAGGTGTTGTCAGCGCTGTTGCGACTTGCTAGTGCCAGTGCCTGCGCGAATGGATGGATGTTCAGGGTTTTACAGCGTCTAGCAGCCAGGGTCAGGGTGAGCACCAGCCCAGGGTGCAAGGGACCTGGACCTGTTCTGTACCGTGCACAGTAGACTAAAATGCACATCGTGGCCTCGTACGGCTGGGGATGAGAAAGAGCACGATCCCACATTGACTAAAAGATGCTATCGGAGCCGTGACAGCCCTGGACTTGCAAGGGTAGGATGGTCCAGGCGCTGTTGGAACATGAATTGGCTCGGCTCGACTTGAGATGCAATGCATCCATTGAATGTGGAAGGCCTCATCCATTGCCCCGGGCAGTGTTGAAATATCGCAAGTCAATAAAGAGTTACCTAGTCTAGGTCCCAAGGTCCAAGGGACATGGACTCGTGCGGCGCCACGAAAAAGTCCCCTCGTTAGGTGCAGGTGCATGCGTAGATGCAGAAGAAAGATGCAGGCGGTGCGAAAGGGACTGGATCAATAGCTTGGCTTGGATGGAATAAAGAGCAGTAATTGGCCTGAAGGACATGGTCATGGTTGCTGCCAGAGAAGATGACTGGCATTGGCGCTGACTCTAGTCCGGGTCCGGCTCAAGACTTGGAGGGGCTCTAAAAACCTGTGCGTCACCATCAGATCGAGTTGGTTGATTGGATCGTTGAGTCGAGTCAACTACTCTGCTAGTCGCTATTTTCTAGGCGACACCAAGGCTGTTTAGTTACCTTGACGGTGGGCGCTCACCCACTTGCACCGCCGCTGTTGGCGACGGGACCAAAAGACCCTTTTTCTTTTTCTTCTCTTCTATTCCGTGTCTCTCGAATTGTTTTTTCGTTTCTTTTTCTCTCGGACTGTCTTGTCTTTGTATCTCTGCCTTGCTTTTCTATTCGGCATTCGGTTATTAGGTCTCGGTTGTGCTGCGCTCCAGGCTGATAAACAAACCCACTTTCCTGCTTGATCGATCGTACTTAACCTTGGTTGTAGATGGTCTTGTCCCGGTGTGGAGGCGTATGCCAAAAGGAACCATGCCAACAGCGGTTCTTCCATAATACCTACCTACAAAGTGAAAGAGGAGAAAGGGCATAGCAGATTCGTCATGTCATAAGATACACCTAACCATCATTTGTTGTCCCAAAGCCAGTTCAGACATCCAATTCTTTGGCCAACCACGCATCATCAGCATGGTGATGTCGTTCTGATAGGAACAGGAAATACAAAGACATTTCGGTCTTACAACTACAATAAACCCCTTCCCTACTCGATCTTTGTCCAACCGCACCCCCTTCCACCCACGCCATCCATTGTCAGCCAGGGCCTTGTCGAGACCTGGACATACTACATGACGTTGCTCCGGCTTCTATTTCTGTGTAACCCGAGCCATCACATCTCATCTATACATCTCATCCTCTTGTATCGACCTCGCTATTCCAGCTCAGCTTATTGTCTTGTGCGCCAGCGCACCTAGCTTGGTATACAAGGCGCCTGAAACCACCGTGTTGCCTTGCGAGGCTTTGACCGAGCGGGTTAAAGCAAACCTAACTTGGGAAATAACGTTTGTTCTTATTCCTGCCTTATACTTCTCGAGTCCTGCACAATCAAACTCGAAAATTTGTGTGGCTCTCCTATTGTTACACTTGTATCGGTGACAAACGAGGCAACTCTCAGCACTCTATCAACATAAATACGACCCTGCAAAAGGACAGCGATTCAGACGCAGCAGACGCAAACGCAGACGCAGACGCAGACGCAGGCGCATCAGACAGCGTGACCGTCTTCGACAGGCAAGCCTACAGTTCAACGTTGGCGCAGCTGCAAGTGCAAGTGTGAGCTTATAACCCGGTTACTCGTTCTTGCCCGTTCTACCAGCAACGCAGCGCCGCCATCTCAAGCTACTTTCCTTGCCTTTTCTTAGACTGTCTTCTAGTCTTGCTTCCATCTTATACATATCTACACCCCCCTCCGCTTTTCTCTTTTACTCTTATACATCTCACTCATATCTGCTCCAAATCCATCTCTTGTCGAATCTTGCCTTCTTCTGTCTTCATATACAGTTCAACTCCCCCCTTACAAACTTTTGTTTCCTGATTCCCCACCTGAAAACGCGCGACATCTGTGGCTTGACGTGCCTTGCAGACTGTCTGCACAATCCTGGTTCTCCAACAACCACCATGTCGACTCCGTCTCTATCCGATGGGCAGCTTACGCCAACCGATACTGACCCTGATCTTTGCTTCTCCTCCTCGGAAGATGATCACAGATGGCCAACTGCCCAAGATGTCATCGAAATGTCAATTATGCTCAATGGGAGTGCCGTTCCTCTGTCATGGTCTCGTGAGACCCTCAAGAGATTACCAATGGGCACTCGTCCGGTAAAGATGGTTGGCGAAGGTGCTGCCAATGTCGTTTTCGAATTGGGTATTCCAGAAGGAGATCTTAGGGCCAAGGGCTTCAAGGGTTTGTTCTGTCTCTGTTGTTGTTATCAATATATGCTGATATATGCTCAGGATGGCTTCTTCGTGTTGCTAAAGCCCCTACAAGTGGCCAACCCGCCAGGTTTAATTATTTGAGACAGCAAGAGTTTTACGCAAAACAAATCACTCCATTTCTCAAGACTCACGCCATTCAACAACAGCTCGTCGTCCTACGTAGCACAAATATTATTCCTCAGCTGAACGCGTTTCTGCGGTCAATTGATCATCAGCGCAAGGAGAAGTTCAGGGGTACCTTTGTCTCCGAGTCTAATTGGGGTCTTCTTGTTGAAGACATGCGAATATCTGGTGGGTAAACCTTGATGAGACCCGAAAGCCTTTACTAACTGCCGCTAGATCCCAACAGCAGACTTATCGAGTTCAAGCCAAAGTGGTTGAATCAATCGCCGAGTGCTCCCCAGGGTGCTGTAAGGTGTCGACAATGCGCCATGGAACTCTTCAATTACCTCCGGGATCCGAGCCCTTCAAGGCATACACCAGAGCAAAAGCCTTGCCCTCTTACACTTGCCAATCCTAGTGCTCCCGCTGCCATCAGTTCACCATTTCGTTTCGCTCCCAAGCTTGCTTCCAAGTGCAACGATCCCATGGTGCGGGAGCTGCTAGCAAAGACAGCCGATCACCAGGTCATTCGTGATCTTAGATGGCTTCAAAATCTTTCCGATACCAAAGGTCCTCTGTATGCCGAGAAAAATGATCCTATGTTCAGTTTGGCCATGACTGTTCGTGATTGTACCTGTTTCGTCCAGATGAATCTAGGACCCGATGTACCTCCCGAACAACGACTTCGTGTCAGGCTTGGCGACTTTGATCTAAAGGATACCGACATCAAGTTCAAGCGATGGACTTCGGCCGAGAAGGACCTAATCGACTCGGGTTGCTACACCGTTGACTGGATCATGTGTAACGGGCAGTACTACCACCCTCCCACCAAGTGTCTTCTTGAGTGGAGCCGGCGGCAGGATCAAAACGTGAGAATCATTGGCATCAAGGCCAAAGGCTCTCATCCCAATAAGGCAGTAAATTTCCCTACCGAGGTCATGACCAAGCAGGCTCTCGTGCACTGGATGACGAGTAGTCCTGTCAAGCTCACGGGACTTCTCCAGCCCGACAGAAAGGATAAGCCAAGGAGCGATGTGTGCCCATTTCGGAATGAGCCTCCGTAAGTCTTACACGTCACATTTTCGCATGTCAACCTCACCCCTGCTAACACACTGCAGGAATCTACTGAAATGGTTGTCAAAGAAGCCGTAAGCAGGCATCCTGGGGATCCTACGCGCAAATCTGCGATCAGGAATCGCAGTTCTCTTTCTATTTTTTGCATTATATGGTTGCATCGGTGCATCAGCGACGGCGGGTTCGCATAGCATGGCATGGGTACGGGCATGGTTGGTTGCATCAGTCAAGGGACACGGCGTTGGTTGGGTTAGATTATTGTAAGGGTACATTTTCCGGTTTGATATGTGACATGTATTCATGATTGGCTGTATTCAATACCTATACATATGTAGGAGCACAGTACCTAAATGTTCAAACTGTTATCGGCTGTCAAATGACTATCCATATCAAAAACACCTCCAAACACCAATTCTAATGCAGGCTCGCACAAGCTGTTCTAGATGTCTGCCACTGTAAAACTCAAAAGACTGCCTACTGATAACCCTGCGACAAGGCACAATCCCATAAAGCCGCCAGCAGCCTCACGCTCGCCCTCGTCTACCCACTCGCCAGATGCCATCATGAAGCTAGAACCAAGCCAGCCGTTGGTCAGGCCAAATACTAACTGAACGATACAGAGATAAAAGAAGTCGCTGGAAACGATTGCGCCACGATTATCGATGTTGCAAAGTAAATACAGAGGCAGCCAACCATAACGAACGACAGCAAGAACGAAAAGAGCAAAGGGGCGGTGTTGCAGGGAAAAGGGAAGTATAGTTGCTACACGGCCACCCAAGTCACCCAAGTTCCAAAAGAAAAAGCCAAGCGGTATAAAGGCTGCAGGTTGATAGATGGCACCAGAGGTTTCCTTTACAGAATGAATCTTTGCTGTGAAAACGGGCATAAACATAGTTGCGGTGAAAGTAAGAGCCACACCAATGGCAAGCCAGTGAAGCTTGGTGAATAGCCGCCAGAGGGATGTAACCTTGCGGGCAGCACGTTCGGCTTCTTCGATGCTATGCATGGACTCGTTCATTTGCTCGACCATGCGGTTTTCGATGATGTGGTTGTGTCGGCGAACCAATGGGACGAAGGAGACCAGCGCAACCACCGACACAATTACAGCGGTGAGGAAATAAACAAATGCTGATGTTTGACCATCCTCTGCGGACACGCCTTTGGAAGCATTTTCCTTGTCAGGAGGAAAGGCTAGAACAGTGAATACTTGGGCAAGCGGAGGTAGCACGCCAGCGATGCCTTGTCCAGCCATGATTGCCTGCATATACTCTGGGCGCCCAAAACTAGCTGCAAAAGCAAACGCGCCATTCTGAATAAGACCTGCAGCCCACGCGGCTGCAGCGACTGTGGTAAGCAGAAATACAAGGTAGACTGTAGGTGATGCGCTGAGGCCGAGTACGGTGGAAGCTGTCAGGAGACCGAATGCAACAACGTTGATAATGAGAGCAAGGTTGATTCGGAAGGGGTATGATGCTGAGTATTGGATACTGGTGAGGACAAGCATGGCACCGAGGTTGGTAACAGTAGAGACGGTCAGGATCGCAGACTGAAAGTTGGCCTGGATCCAAGCATCACCGGCGAAACGAGCTGTAAAGTAGGGAGCTGCAGCAAGGAACATGTTCCTAATAAAGGCGTTAACTACGGACATCACGGCGCATGTATAAGAGAACTCACCAAGCCCAAAGCATGGCAACGCCCAGTAGGGCGAAGATACTATATTCCGCCCATGAGAAAGGTAGGTCGTGTTGGCCTTCGAGTTGGGTAGAGCCCTCTAGAGGAGTGGCTTCTTCGTTGCCTGTAAGAGGCTCATATTCTGATGTTGATGTTGAGGAATGTTGACGACCTAGGGCCTTTCGCACGCGGTCCATGGCGGCCGGGGTATTTATTCGATCGGTCGTTCGTTCGTACAGGTGAGTCTGAGGTTTGTCGAATTGATTGTCTTATCGTACAGTTGCTTCGATAGATAGTGGCAGTTGCCAAATGTATAGCTTATTCAAGACTGTTGAACCATCAAGGGACCGCGTGCGCGCGGGATAAAGAGGCCCTGCGCAGTTCAGCCTATCAAGTGCTGATGATTAAGAATTATAGATCGCGTGGTTATTTTCTCGTCTGATGAATAGTAATGTCGTCGCGAGTCACAGTGAGATGGAGAGTGTGACTCGTGAAGGATGCGGATTGTGGGGGAGCCAGATGATGACATTGGCTTGGTCCCTGGGCCTGGGGCCTGGGAAGATACAAGATAAGATCCGATCTCCCCAACGGGACAGGGCGGGACGGTAGATGACTTGTGCCCATGTGCTCGAGTCAGGCGGAGGTTTTTGGTCCAATCATGATGAGTTTATGAATCGTTTACAGTTATAAGCGGAGCTATTTTCTGAAGCTTACAATATCAGATGACAGGACAAGCAAAAGTATTCATTTATTTCAATAGTCTGAAATTACTAGGCATGAGTATAGTGAATGTATCAGGATGACTAACTCTTTGTTGTCTTGGTCTCGGGTAGTTCCATATTATTATACAAAGCCTGGCTAACAGGATAACAAAATAAATGCCGTTGGAATCGCTTAAATACCATTGAGTTGAATTATTTCAAGTGCTCGATAGATTGAAGTTATACACCTTTGAAAAGAGAATATTCCATTATACCCTGAACCTTGAGCTAATCACTACTTTAGTCGTCCAGAGGGAATCGGTCAGTAAACTTAAAAGTAGCCAAACCATCCTTCAAGTCTTCAAGAAGAGAGTCAACATTTTTCGAAAAGTACACCCCCTTTCCATTGCCAACCCTCGCGGCCTGGGCTGCCGCCTTTGCACCTCCAATGAATCCAACAGGCTTACCCCAGTGGTAACCGTCCACGATCATCTGTGTAGGACGACCGGGAGGGAAGAGAGTTGACCTTCCAGTGCCGTTGAAAAGAGACTCAGTACCGCTGGCAACAACGATACCGTCAAATTGAGCGGCCGTTGCAGCGCTGTAGGTAACTTCAACATCATCTCCGAGAACCTCGCCTACAATCGACACTGTCACCTTGTCCTCGCCAAGGGCCCCCTTGAGAGCCTTGGCTTGCTGGATAGAGTTATCTGAATTGACGGAAGCCAGGACACCAACGGAGAGTGTCGCAATGCTGGGCAGCTTGGTTCCAAAAATGGAGATTCCAGCTGTGGTGTTGTCGTGGTAGTACTTGTCGTCAGCCTCAGGAGCTTCGAGACCCAAAGCCCTGGCGACTCTGACAGCAATGTCGTGGCTGATTTTGTTCAGTTGGTAGAGAACGTTCTTCTTGACAGTTTCAGACTTGAGTTGACTTGTCTCGAAACGAATGGCATTGATGAGAAACTGCTGTTCTACTTTGGTCAGAGAGTTGTAGAAGAGTCGTGGCTGGCTCCAGTGGTCAGAAAAGGTGGATGCTCTGGCTCGCATCAAGTTTCCAGAAACTTTGCGGTTAGGAGCAGTGAAGAAGCCTTTGCCCTGTGTCTGGTTTGCCTGAGCAGGGTAGCCCTTGTTCAGAGTGTTGGGAGTGTCTGCGAAGTCAGCTAGATGAACCAGGATTTATTGAAAGTTAACTCACAAGCAGCAGTGTTTTTGTGGATGAAGTTCTGGCCAGCTCCATCGCGGTTGTTGTTATGGATAGGAGACAGAGGGCGGTTGATGGGGAGTTGCTCAAAGTTGGGACCACCATGACGGTTGATTTGGGTATCAAGGTAAGAAAAGATACGCCCCTGAAGCAGAGGATCTTCAGTAAAGTCAATACCGCGAACGATATGTCCAGGTTGGAACTAGTTAGGTTAGCAAACTATCGTATGGTTTGTTCGATATGTTTACTCACCATGACCTGCTCAGTCTCTGCAAAATAGTTGGCCGGGTTTGCGTCCAACTTCATAACACCAAGAGGTTGGAGAGGAACCAATTCCTCAGGTATGATCTTGGTAGCGTCGAGAACATCAAACCCGAACTCGAGAGCTTGGTCCTCGTCAAAGATTTGGGCATTGAGCTCCCACTCAGGTCCATTACCAGACTCAATGGCATCCCACAGATCAGCACGGTGGTAGTCGGCGTTCTTTCCGGCCAGATGCTGTGCTTCGTCCCATACAAGGCTGGCTTTGCCCTGTTTGCTCTTCCAGTGCCACTTGACGAACTTTGTGTCACCCTCATCAGTCACTAGGCGAAAGGTGTGAACACCAAACCCATCGACAAACCTATAGGAGCGTGGAATACCGTTTCCTGCCATGGCCCAAAAGAGAGTATGCATGGTTGTGGTTTGCTGGCTGAAAAAATCCCATGCTGAATCGTGTGCTGTGGCGGCTTGCGGGATCTCGCTATCAGGGGATGGCTTGACAGCGTGAATGAGATCTGGGAACTGAATTGCATCTTGAATAAAGAATACAGGAATATTATTCCCGACCAGGTCGAATATTCCCTCATCTGTATAGCTGTTGAAATATGTAAGTTTTTGTTCTCAAGTGAGTCTGGGGTTGATCATACAATCGGGTCGCGAATCCATGCACGTCTCGCACAGTATCGGCACTACCTCTTGAACCAGCGACGGTAGAAAAGCGTACAAAGACAGGGGTCTTTTTATCTTTTAATCCAAGGAAAGAAGCCGCAGTGATGTTGCTCCAGTCCTGTGAAACACTCACATTAGCAACCCCAGATATGAACCAAATTGCATGCACCTACACTATAGCTTGTAAATGTTCCATGAGCTCCAGCACCTCGGGCGTGAACAGCTCTTTCGGGGACCTGCAAAGATATTAGTTTCGCAACATACAGTTGATGTCTTGGAGATTAAATACCCGTTCGTGGTCGAAGTGTGTGATCTTTTGGCGGAAGATAAAGTCTTCGAGTAGGGTGGGACCTCGTTCCCCTGCCTTTAAACTCTCCTGTTCCTCAAAAGGACCACCAACATCGGAACTCATGTATCCCTTGCTATCATCAACTTCATAGTCTTTGAGATGTTCACGAGAGCTTCCGTCATCTCTAGCTGCCAGCTTAGCTAGGTCAGCATAGGGACATTGCGCAGCGGTTAGGCTGGCAAGTCCAAGAGCAACTAGAAGCTTGGAAGACACCATTGTTAGAGTAACACAGGTTGTCAATCAGCCAAAGAGTTCTCTTTGGGTTGGGCGGACATAACTACGGACACGACGGGACTTGCATTCTTATACTTGCGGGATCACATAGAATCGACAAACTGTGGACGATCGATTTGGAATCACCGCATCTAACTCGAGCAGAGGGGCCATGGAGACATCGCAAGCGAGTGATGCAAACCGGACTTTCGGACATGGTTCTATGGTCATCGGGCAGGACGTCGTAAGCCTCCAAGATCAAGCCTCTGCTTAGTAACTGCTCATCCTTGAAGACAATGGTAGAATGAGCTTGTGCTAGGGCCTGGGCGTAGTATCTTATCCCATAGTTCCTGATTTACAAGCCGCCAATGTGATAGATGGGATATGAGTGCATCACATCACATCCCTGCAGCTCTTCCAAAGGATCAGCGATGTGAGAAACAGTTGAGCGGAAATAATGTCGGCCTGTGAAGAGGTGATCGGATAAGGTTTCCCAGCAAGGATGGTCGTGAAATCTTCCGAGAGCTTTGACAACACGGCATCGATTGAGTGAGAGATAGATCGTTACTGGGGAGTTTTGAGTGGGTTAACGGAACATTGGAAATGGAATCAATTTGGCATCGATGTCAATATTGCGTCATAGATAATTGAGCAATCTCAATGCCTGTCTTTTCATGCCCGGCCTTGATAGACTCGGGACTGAGAGTCGGAGTTGAAGACCAAATAAGCTTACTCCCGAAGATCCTCGAAACTGAAAAGCAAAACTACAATGATGAGATGATTTGATCGTCCAATTACAAGTCTCGAGTTATTAACATGATACCTTTCCTAGACTGGGTCATATTGCTACTACCAAGGGCCCCATGTATCTAAGGTGATGTGCCAAGATGTTGAGAGAATTGGACCAAGTCTCTATTGGTGGCTTATGCATGATAAGAATAAAACATGGAAGGAAAATGAGCTGTTGACTGCTGAGAATGAGTAATGACGATGCCTGTCTGAGGGCTGTCTCATGGGAGTAAGATGTTGATAATGTCGAGGATGAGTAAAGCACATCCGAATGATTACGAACTGTCAGAGATCGATATATTCTTCAGCCATCTCTTCTTTCTTACTGCATGAGATGTATATGGTCACAGATAGGGTTGTCGAGTAAGAGACCGAGGTTTAGTAATAGTCTTTTCGTAACCGCTAGGAAGCAGTATAATATGTTCAGCTACATTATTATTCTATAGCCGAAATATAGTTTTCCCTCAAAGAATCAGTTGCAGGTATAGCTTGATCAAGTATAAGTCTCCCCCGAAGCATTCGGCATGTTCGGCTTCCTTGAAGAAACTGCCGAGCATCTACGGACACTCACATGATCAGAAACAGATCCGCCTTTTCAATATGGCTGCTAAGATTGCTAGTCTAAGCCATGACGATGCTGTGTTACCATAAGCAACTGAGGATGCATTAATTGCTTTCTTGGAAGTTTCTGCACCCTAACACTATCAGTCTCAAACAAACCGCAAGTCCGGTCCTCTCTTCATTATCAAGTTGATTCTGGATTCTAAGCGCTATGGAAGTATCGCTGAAAACATATCACTTTCCACTCTTTCCTTATGTCTGCAACTCGTCTCTAGTCATTCCATACATCGGAATCATTGGCCCCAAACGGTTCGTGCTGGGGGCATGCTCTTCATGGTAGTGAGAGAAGACCCAAAGGAATCGAGCCTTGAGGTACATTCGGAAATTGCAGAAGTTGCTCAAAGCTCATTGCCACTCTTCTTCTCGTCAGTCCCAAAGTTGTATCACACGACGATATCAAGGAGAACACCGTTATCATCAAAAATTTCATCAAAGTCCATCTCAATCATAGCGTTCAGGTGAGGCTCATTTCGCTGAGAATTGTCGGTTACTCCAGGCACATCCTGACTGTCGGTGATAGTCTGGCTGCGAGATCTAACGTCTTCGGCGTGTCTTTAGGCATAGAGCTTGTCCCTTTCATCAAGTTGCATTTGGTAAATCTCGTTCCATTCCAACTTGGAACCCCTGAGGCATGTTAGGAGCAGTCAAGTTTTTGTGATTCACATCTTACTTTTTCTTCAGCCACCATGCGCGATACCTTCTGTCATGATCGATGCGAGCCTTGTCCAGCGCTTCTTTGGCTCCGCTGAGGTATGTATCGATAATCGATCTTGCTTTATCGGTGAGATCTTGGCGGTTAGAGATCTTGAGGCAGAGATGGTAAGCATCCTATGCATGTTCCAAGTAGTTGTTATCGGCGGTGGAAAGAATAAGATGCATGCCAGCCTGGTGGAATTGCCCAAGATGGGGCTCCCGGAGCAGATCACACGCCTTGGCGAAGCGGTCACCGTTACGATAAATTCTCCAAGCCGCTTTGTAACGCCGTACCAACATAGCTTTTGTATAAGACTAGGCATATGCGGTAGGGAATAAAGCATCACTCCGAAGACCTCAAACTTACTTGCTGGTGGGTTGGGGTTCTCAGCCATGGTGTATATAATGGCAGATCGATTGTCGAGGGAAGGGACAGAAAAGAATAACAGTATTGTGGTACGTCGATGGTAACAGTTAATGTCACTGTATTACCTATAATGAGATGAAAGAGGTAGAGTGTAAGAAGAGAAGATTTACCAAGAAAATATTATCAGTCGACCAAGAAACAACTAGAAGCAGGTACGGACTTGCCTTTGAGGGATACCAGCTGGCGGCAACTGGCAGGCGACCTAAAAGAACTCCTTCCCGCACCTTCTCCCCTCTTTGGCTCCAAGTTCTTGGTCGAAACAATGGATCGCTGGCTCATTCGCAAGGAGGACGTGGTAGAGGAAATCGAGGCCAAGGACGGCTTACCCTCAGCAGATCGTAACGACGAGGATACTCTGCTGCTCGCAGGACCGTCTCGTACAGTCCGACCCACGGAGTGAACCTTCCCTGGCCAGCACCTCTAAGCAGAGGAATTTACAGACAAATCGCAGATACTTTGCAGACTAACAGTTGGTCTGAGATCCTCCTGAGTCTCTGTAGGTATCTAACTACCCACATGGGAGTACCTCGAACCACTAAGAGACTTTATTAGCCACTGCTGACTGAACGAAATTAATAGGTCAGTTTATGCTACTTAGACAATACTTCTTAGGCTCTTTATTTCTGTAACCTAAAGCTTAGAGGTTAACTTTTCTACTGCCCACTCGGCACGATATGCGATCAGGCTCAATGGTTTCTTTCTTTCACCTGATTTTGCGCTCCCCTTCTTCCAAAGCGAGTTTTGAGTATCAGCCGTTGGTTGTTGCTGGCAATGGGTGTTGGGGACAATAGGTAAGAGATTGTACTCTATTACATAGTCCGAAATGCTAAACAACCCAGTGGCATTACCCGACATGGACTACCCAGTACCCCATGTGTGGAATGACAAAGGATCATACCAACCCATCCTTTCGTGTATAAGAGGCCAAGTTTGGAGCTGTCAACTATGTCAAGACGCAAGACACTATTCCTATCAGAGAGTCCTTTACTCCCAAAGGTGTTAAGTGGGACACTACCTACATGAACTGGCCTGAAATCCACCATCAATGCATCGAGTTCATTCGTTGGCTTAACTCAACCTCCAAGATCATCTTTCTCGTTAGAGAGGAGAATGTCCGACAGTGGAGAGACTACGTTAACCTCGACGAAACCGTTGAGGCTATCAAGATTGAGCTTGATCTCGGCATAAAGGTCTTTGGCGAAAGCCGTCTTTTCAGAAGAGACTCTCAAGCCGACATAACACATCATATTCTCTAGCTAGCTGAATACGTGAACCTGAACCTTTCATCCCATAATGCCATGTGACTGGTTTGCACCAGAACCAATCCCAACCCAAATACAAGATACATTTTGTACATTTCGTTGCATCATAAACGCCAACACCGCGCTAACCGAGTGTCTTGTCTCCTTAACCAAGAAGAACCGCGACCTCATCCTTAGCTTGTGCCTCCCAAGTCTTGAGCAAGATCTGTCCAACACCTCGTCGATATGCAATATCTCCAATCCGCTCGATCCAGAGAACATTGACGAAGTCAACCATACCATCCGCGTCCATGTGCTCTTCGAATTTGTCGGTATCAAAGACATGTGAGCCTCGACGTTCAGTGGCGATAGAAATACAAATAAATTCGAGGCGCTCTTCGCCATCATAGTTTGAGGATTGGATGCCCAACCATGCATCGTGAGCACGGAATTGCCCTGCCCACCGGTTGGACTTGTTCCAGATTGTACCCACAGCAAGAGGCGGGTTGGGTCGCTCGCGATGAGCGAGAGTAGTGTGGAATTCGATGTCGAAGAAACCAGAAGTTGTCCGGAACGAAAGCAATGGCCCAGGGTAGGCTTGCTCACCTACAGCAGGCTCATAACCACCGCTATCGGCAGGGTCCTCAACAGGGACGGGGTATTTGAATAATGCAGTCTCATCGCTGTCGTGGACATAATGTGAGCCACTTCGAGACCAACCCATCGGTAACTCTGTGTTGGGGGCACGACGACTCCTGAGATTATTGTACTGAAGACCAGTGTTCATGAGGGGTACAGTTGAAGCACGGTCCGTCAAGCTCCAAGAAACAGTAGGTCTGATCCTAAAGGCGTGTGCGGATCGGTACCGTTTCGATTCCTGACCACGTTTTCCAGTTCGAGCCTCTTCCACGTAATCCGCAGCTGCTCTCCACAAGGTCACGTCGACGGGGATGTTATCAAACCACCAGCCCATCCAAGACCACGACGGGAGGAACGGCGGACGCGAGAGTGCTCTTCTTCTGATAGAGGCATGGGGACGCCAAAGAAGAGCAATGTCTAGAAACATAACAGGCATGCCGTAGATGAAGCCACCAGGGAATGAACGAGAAAGAACATGGGTGATTCCTGAAAACGCAGGCAGAGTATCGTCAACAAGTGTCAACTTTCGGGCGCTGTATTCCATGACATAACGAGCATACTCGTCAAGGTCAGGCCAGCGTGGATGCTGGAATGCAAGAACAGCATCGGGAATAGTACCGACACAGTCTTGACGACCTCCTCGGAGCTTCTTCATGACACTGTTCGGACTTCCCTGCCATGTCTCACAGTGGCATTCCCAAGTTACTGAGTCTTCAAAGAAGAAGACTGAACGTCGAGAGTAGATGCGCTCGACAAGCGTCCAGCCTCTGGTGTACCAAGACGAAGCTGCTACGAGCTCTTGGTGAGTACGACCAGTGGTACGAATGCCTCGTGTTGATCGCTTCGGATCGAGAGAAGGCAGTCCAGTGTGAATGTCGCCAGAAGCTGCCACAATGACGAGATAAGCATTCGCAAAGACATATGCCATGTGCTTAGTGTGGTCCTCCATTTCCTCCCGGTTATCCTGGGTAATACAGATCCGGTCAATCCAGATGTGTCGAATACCCAGCTTCTTCGCAAGCCACATAGCGTCCAGGTACGTCTGAGGCATATCAAGATTCGGCAGACGATCCTCAAAAACTGCAAGGTTAGACTTGAGCAGCTGCATGTATTCTTGCGGCTCATTGCGATGAGATCCGCTGACATAACTGAGAGCTAGGTAACGATCTTTAGGTGTCGCTTTAACAAGGCGACGATCCACAACATCGATGAGCCAAGTAGGACGCCAGGTTGGGGCATCAGACTCCGAGCCAACGGCGCAGTGGTGATGGTGTTCAGCGTTACAAGCATCGAGCCACTCCCGGATGCGAGTAACTGGGCTGCCTTTTGTAACAGCGGTAGAGGCGCGACGCTGAACTGAGGCTGCTGCCGCTGGTATGGGGATCTCCTTCTCTTTATCGCCACCACCACGAGCTGCTCTGAAAGATCCGAGGAGACGGCCTGTGATGCTGTTTCGCTTACTGGCCGATGGAGGATGCTCTCGGGGTTCTCGAGCTACTCGTGGAGGTATGCGACTGTCGCGACGTCTGTCTCTGTCGATATCCCGATCTTTGAGTCTGTCTCTACCGTTGACGTGGTCCCTTCCAACGTCATGTCGACTGTCTCTGGGATCGTCGTAGTCTCTGTCTTTTCCATAGTCGCGACTGTCTCGTCTGCCATCCAGTGATCTATCACGGCTATCCCTTCTGTCGTCGAATTGTCTGACACGGTCTCGGTCTCGTCTGTCATCTGGAGATCTGTCCCGACTGTCTCTTCTGTCATCGAGTGGTCTGTTGCGATCCCGATCCCTTCTGTCTTCGGGCGATCTATCGCGACTATCCCTCGGGTCATCCAGAGGTCTGTTACGATCTTGGTATCTTTTGTCATCGGGTGATCTGTCGCGACTGTCCCGTCTGTCGTCCAGGGGTCTCCGGTCCTTCTTATCTGGTAGACTATCGAAGCTATTTCTTCGATTGTTTAGTGGTTTGCTACGATCTCGGTCTCTTCTATCGTCCGGCGATCTGTCGCGGCTGTCTCTTCTGTCGTCCAATGGCTTCCGGTCCTTCTTGTCGAGTAAACTGTCGTAACTGTCCTTTCTGTTGTTCAGCGGTTTTCGGTCTTTCTTGTCGAGTAAACTGTCGTAACTGTTCTTTCGGTTGTTCAATGGTTTCCGGTCCTTCTTATCGAGTAAACTATCGTAGCTATCCTTTGGGTTGTTCAATGGTTTCCGATCTCTCTTATCTGGTGAGCTATCATAGCTGTCCCGTCGGCTGTTCAGTGGTCTCCGGTCCTTTTTGTCGGGCGAACTGTCGTAGCTATCCATTCGATTGTTTAGAGGCTTGTTGCGATCTCGATCTCTTCTTTCATCTGGTGATTTGTCGCGAGTATCTCTTGCGTCATTTAATGGTTTGTTGCGGTCTCCCCGCCTGCCGTCTGGAGAGTTGTCTTGACTGTCTCTTATGTTATCCATTGGTTTGATGCGATCTCTTTTATCATCAAGCGGCTTTGCAGGCTCTCTTTCTTTTTTGTCGTTCAAAAGTCTGTCGCGGATCTTCTCCCTCTCTCGGTCTCTCTCCCTATCCTTCTCTTTGTCCCGTTCAATATCGCGTTCAACATCACGATCAATATCGCGATCGATGTCTCTGTCCAGATCTCTCTCCATATCACGGTATTGATCTCTTTCCTTATCTCTTTCCCTGTCCCTCGCGCGGTCTCTCTCGCGATCCTTCTGTAATTCTTTCTCTTTTTCTCGACCCTTGTCGCGATCGACAGGACGTTCGCGATTGCGCTCTGGCTCCGGAGAGCTATCGCGAGAGTCATATGAGGGGCTGCGGTCTGGCATTGTCGGTCAAGGCCGCAGGCCTACAGCAAGTGCGCAGAATGAATTTCGGGGTGGCGCATGCCAAATTTATTGTCGCGGTACTGTCAGCAAGGTAATAACGAGATTGTAAAAATATTCAAAAGTATTTGGAGTTGGTATAGCTCATGTTGATGCCCGAAAATGGGGTCATCGTCACTGTAGAAGTCGGTCAAAGCCCCTCAGCTTTCGCGGCCTGGATGTACAGTGATGTGGTCTAATTGGCTCGTTAGACCTAGCTACCTACAAGCAACAGTCAGACAACGTCATTTCGTTGGTAGCTTAGATCGGAGCTAGTAAATTAACTGAGCTGGCGGTCCAAGATCCATGTAGACAGGAGATAACGATAATTTATGTAAAACCTAAGGTTAGGATACAGAAAAATAAATACGCAAATAACTAGTCTAAGTTTAGGTATGTATTGCTCAGTCATCATTGTGACCATCAGTCAATCTCTTGACTTCGGAGTACCTACCAGGTAGTTTAGACTACAGTGCGATGGTATTTGGTGAAAACGGATGTATCATGGATAACGATTCAATGGTTTCTCAGAAACATGGATATCAACTAAATTACATCGTCTATCTTTTTACCTTTGTCCATATAGTGAAGACTTGTGATGTCCAAGCAAAATAAATGTACTACGCCACTTGTCTCACACTTTCGGTGTGATACCAATTACCTTAGGATGTATCATTTTCATTTTCATCAAAGGGATTCTGAAAAGAGGGAAGTAACAAAAGAATAGAAACGTGGAGAGATGACAAGGGAAGAAAACTTATCATGAATAAGCCAGGGTGCGTGTTTCGTTGTGACAGCGTTTCAAGATATACATTTCAACGCGCTTTGCCCGTAACTATAAACGGCCACAACCTCACTTCTCAAAAATGGATAGAACAGACGTAAAGCAAAAAAGGAAAAGGTGTCGCATGCGATGTAGAACCTCTGGATACACCCAAAAAGTTTAGTCAAGGTCGAGCCGAGGCTTGAACTCGGGACCTTCTCGGTATTTAAGGATATTAAATGCAGGCAAGAAAGTCACAGTAGCCACACGAAAGGCAAAGACTAAAAAATGCTGGAGAGGCGCCAAACAGGCGCAGCGGAAATTACTTTTTTTTTATTTTATAAAAATAATAAAAGGCCAAAAACGGCCTTGATGGTGGACTTCTTGTTGTAGGCGGCAAGCTTGGAAGCCCAAGAAGCGACACGCTCGAAGATGTCTAAAGCCAGATATTAGAAGACGGTTAAAGCAAGAAAAAGATAGACATACCATTGACGAAGGAGTTTCGGAGGGAAGACCCCCCATCTCGCTATCTTTGCCGCCAGTCTCAGGGGCCTTGTCAGCACCTTCAGCGCTGGCGAGGCGCTAAAGGTGCTTCGCCTTCCGCAGAAGACGCTTCTTCTCGCGGTTGGACTACCTCCAGTTAGTAATAAATAAAGAATAAATAGCAGTATGACTTACCATTCCGCCCGACCACCGGGCCCCACCGCCGGCCCCCACCACCGTGCCGTAGTTGTTGATGGTCGCCCCGGAAAACGAAATGGTAGACATTTTGATAATCTAGAATTATAGTCAGTGAATCACAGTCAAACGGTAAGAGTAATACAAATTAAATGCAGTGAGGTAAAGTAATGATAGTAGAAGAAATAGAGGAACGAGGATGAGAAGAAGAATATGGGAGAGATAAAGCATGATGATATGGTGCATGAGAGCAATTCTTTTTGAAGAAACTACAGCTCTTCAAAATACCAAGTATAGAAGACATGAACGAATAGGAGATAGGAAGACCGCATTAACACAAGAAGAGTCAAGCAGAATGAGAAGCATTGTTCAAGACAGAGCGCGAGATAAAAATGGATTAGCATGAAAATAATTCGGCCACTCGCCGATCCTGTATATAAGACTGCAAATAGGGCCAAATTCGGTATAGAAAAGCGATAGAAAGACAAAAGGAACGTATATAGTGCGAAAAAAATGAGAAAGAAGGAAAATAGCGGGAAAGATAGGACATGAAGCAGAGTGTTCAATCCTGGGAGCATTTGCCAACACTCTAAGATTCCGACAGTGGGCAACACAAATGGGAACAGATGTAATACGCATAAAATCGCGACGACAATAAGAAAGATTTGCGTAAAATGAATAGCAGAAAGAACCACATGTGTTCGGGGCTGTGAATCGTGGAGGAAGCAAAGAAAGGGGTCGACTTACTCGCGATGATGTTGTCTGAGGAAGAGAAAAGAGAAGGGGAGAGGGGAGAAGATCACGTACCCGAGTAACTGGCCTCTATTACGTCATGTGAAAATGAGCGCGAACGTCAGCAGGTATCGCGTTTACAGGAGGCTGCCTGACCTGCGGAGGCAGGCGCGAGTGACCAGGATGGGGTTTCATCGGCAAGTCTACCTCTCCGTACTTAACTTACCCAGTATCCAAATAACAGGTACTCCAGATGGAATGTTGTAACTAGCACCTAATTGTAGATGATCATGGTCTTTACCATGTTTTTTTTGTATGCGGACCTAGAATGCATTCTCAGATTATTAGGTAGAAGATTTGCAAAGCTCTGTCGTTCACCACTTGGGCATGTCGAAACACTTAGGCACAGCTGCGGCAACTCTTATGGGAAGCGTCATTATGAGCTAAAGTAGACGATTCAGTGAATACTCTCTATCAGTATGTCATTGCTATTGCGGTTTGATCTCGTATAGGTTCCCCCGTTTGCTTTGTCGTAACCAGTGCTAGTTAGAGCGTACCTAGTTAGGAGACGATGACACTATGAATTCTGGCATTTTCACAAAGCAGCCGAATTGAAGAAAACTACAAAATTAAATGCAGAATAGTCGGCTCCCTTGAAGCTGGTGTAAAGAATTTAATGACTATATTGTTTATATCTATCTGAAGCCAGTCAATAACCACACTCCAATAATGGGACGCTGCCTCTGTAGCAAACGAGGAACTTTCTATTGGTAGAAAGCTCGATGTGTTGAATCCAGCATACTCAAAAAGTCTAGATTGGCATACCCTCAATCTATCGTAGTATGAAAACGTTGTAATTGTATACGGGAATGCATACGCACTCTGGCGTTAGCTGCCTACCTGCCTACCGACAGGGCCAGGGTGATGACTGCGCATCAACCTCACCAGCATAGCACCATATCATAACTCAATAACAAGAACAACCCGGGTGTTGCGTTGAAATAATACCAGCCATAGAGATAGTTGAGGGCCTAGTCAAGCTCGCTTTGGTGATGGGCACCTCGGCCGCAGCTCCAGGGAAGACATGATTTGGAACGGCAATCGGCCAGAATCGACTGAATACCCTCAGGTAATTTTATGCCGATCTTATCATCTCACGGACAACACGCTTCCAGAGGCCCCTTGGCAGATTTTGCACCAGAAACATCTATATTATATGCGGTTGGGCGACTGCTGCAATCGTTTACCACGTCGAACCCGATATTCAACATGATGTAGAATTTCGAAGACATTCTAATCGGGTCTGTTAGTATAGTAGAAGCCGCCCTCTATTCTCACCAACAATGTTTACGTGCCCATCACTGCTTCATAAAGCCCCTGCATTAATACTGATCTGCCAGTAGTGAGAGTGTGCGACCTCCCTTCAAGTTATAAAGTGTCCTATACCATTGAAGAGTTGGACTTGCTGACTCCTACCCAAACTCTTCGCAAACACAGTACTCAACAGGCAGACTCGTCTTCGGACCTCTCGCATCGTATAACACAGTTTCTCTTAAGCATCGAGACCTAGAGAAGATAAAGAGGTATGGATTACCTGGGATGTTTTGCGTGGATGCACATGAGTATCGAGCTACTGCCTATTATTATGAGGGTGCGCATTTAGAATACCAAGGCGATATCACAGGGAAGACAATGGTGCCCTTTGTCGTCTGCACGGGCTTGTTGGAGAGCTGCAACTTCTTAAATCCGTTCGCTAGTGAATTCTATCAGATCCTATATGATAATAGCACCATGTGCTCCTGATCTCCTACTTTTCATCCAGTTTCTTAGATGTTATGAAAGACCTAAAAGAGCAGGGCTTTCAGGTGTGGTATTTTGCCCCTGATCATTGAGATAAGAGAGGCTATGCGCGAACATTAAGCATAACGCACCTCCCATAATTCGATAGACTAAGAAATGACATTGTTTAGTTGTAGGAGAGAAACATTGACGAATGAGGGGAGTGATCGATCATAGCTGCTAAAGCCCTGAATGATTATCTTGTCTTTCTATATCGACGACTGTGACCTGTTCTGGAGACAGCTATTTCTCATGAGCTCTTATATATAGAAACAACTGGCAGTCGACTTACTACAGATGCAAAAACTTTGGATGTTTGTGTAACGTTCTGCATAAAAACAGTAAGGAAAAGCCCAAGGAGCATTGCCGGTCTTGGTGAGAAACTTCACTCCTGGGCACGACACTGCGACGCTACCTGCAAAAGAAGAATTCATTGCCTCGACTTACCGGATTTGTTGTCATCAGCATCAGTGCTCTGCGTCTCAGTCAAGTCGTAAAGATACAATCTGTGGAGCCGGCGTGAATAGGTAAGAGAAACTTCGGCTACGAGCCAGAACCCCGACAAGTATTGTCGATCTCGGTAAAGGAGGATTTGGTCTAGGGCGCGATCGCGATTGGCATAGGTCATCTTGTCGACTTCTCGAGCTCTGCATTCGATGCGAGTGCTCCATGATTGAATCCAAACAGAGGACCTGGGTGGACATCTTCGATCTCCATAAAATTCGATGCTTTGCCGGGCCTGTCGTTGTGCCTGCTGAAGTGTTAGTTACTTGGCTTCAAATATCTTAGAAGCGCTGTCACTACAGTGGATATGCCCTATTCTCATTGGGGGAATCAACACAGTGTCATCCCGCGGTTGGTAATGTAAAGAATCGTTCACAAGACTCGTGTGTTTTGGAACTGGACAGTTTGTTGATGCATCGTATACCTTGGTGGATGGTGTTGTGCGGGTCACCAACTAGTATTTGTAAGAACGTTCGTCATCAGAAAAGGTTTCTCGAGAGACTCCTTCGGGAGGCATGTCGGGATTGGAGGTCATGTCTCGTTGGCCCAAAGTACTTTGGCAATAAATGAATAAAGTAGAATTGAAGAGGGATTAAAGCAGAAGAGACATACATCTAATGTAGGCTATCGTTTAGGGACAGTGCGGACCAGTCTTAGAACCATACCTACCTTCTGCGCCAGCTGCCTGCCACCGGCTGCTACTGCAACTGTCAGAGAAAGAGGTTTCCCGGTAATCGAACGAAACAACAAATTTCGACTGTGCAAGGCAGCTGTCACTCTCAAGATAAAGATTGGCATGACAACCTCTATATCGGTGTCAGTCTTTGGCAGCAATATAAATACAAAATCCGATCCCCAAGCAAGGTGTCCAGCTTATGAGGCTGAATAATATTTACAGAATGACAACTTCTTCCGATTCGTACGCAAGTTGTACATGCGATCTAGATGATATAGATATAGGTAGTGTTCGCATCTGACTGCTAGGTACATCTACAGTTCTTTAGAAATTCTCTGTGCAACTGGGAATCACTTGACTTTTTCTGGGTTCCTACGCGCATTGGCATTGACAGCTTCTGTAGCATTGTTTTTAATTGATACCATGCAACCATGAACTCGGTTCCCTTCACTTTGAGTAAGTTGGTCACTCCAGCTGTTCTTCTTTAGTAGAGCAGCCGGTCAAAAGCTTGTCTCACAAGGGACTTTATATTACTACCTTCGATTCTTCCCATCGCTCATGGATATTCGTGGTTTGATCTATGGTGGAAGAGTTCGGCCTAGTGCCTACCTAATATCCATCTCTCTTGATAAGTATACTCATGGTACTAGCCTGAAACCTTCCAATGCGGCGTCTACTTCGAATATGTCGCCGAGTGAGTCGTTCTTCTTCTTCTTCTTTTTTCCAATTCTGACGATGGCCTTTAAGTGTTTATCTAGGCGTTACTTGATACGACAAAACCTGCGGCGGATTTCGCTCCAGTTTGTTTCAAACCTCCAATGGGACGCCAATAACCTCAAGACAGGTTTTAGTCGTTCTCATCAGGAAGTTTTCAAGATGAAAGTAATAAGAGAGAAGGGACGGGAAGAATAACAATGGAAGCGAGGTTGTTACGGATGAGACAGTGGTGGATTCTGTTGGAGTATCGTTTAAGAATATAACACCCTTTAACCGTTCACTTACTATCCACACTTCAAAGCGTTTTACCTGCAACAACCATGGCCAGCATCCAAAACTCACTTGAAAAACAAAAAGATGTCAAGCATGTCTGATAAATTGATGGTAGAAAATAGTAAAAAAAAACAAAAGATTAAGGTCGAACCGGGGGTCGAACCCGGGCCCTTTCGCGCGCACTGTGTAAATGCATGTGAGGCGAACGTGATAAACCACTACACTACTCGACCCGACAAGTTATTGATAGGAGTTGCTCATGTGTTGTATATTATTAGGCACGTTAATGTTAATGTTTAGATATTGAGCCATGCTAAAACTGACAAACGCGCCCTCACGTGCCTCGGCAAGAAATGTGGGACTCTCCATCCATGTGCTTTGATTCGCCAGGTTCAACGTTAATCTCAAAGAGGAAGATATTTTACAACAACAGGGCATCAAATAAATACTATTATACGCTCAAGTATTCAAGGATTATATATATAGCTAAAGGAGGAAGAAGTAGTGGCAGTTAGCTCATGAGAAGCGTCTTGTTAATGCGTGAAAATATAGTTGCTTTAGAAACTTTATTGTGTTATGGGTCCTCAGCTGCAGCGTATGGGCGTAGTCGGTAACATACTTTCAAGGTCACATAGAACCACCAAGTATTACACGTAGAACCAACACCCACACGGCCTATATCCCATTGTTTATCTAGCTGGTATACTACTATTGAATATATATGTGCCTTGAACGAGACGGCGCAGAAACCCCAGCAAGCTTCTTTCATGGAAAATGGCGTCTGGAGCAAAACTCTAACTCCTTCAGTTGAAGGAGCAAAAGAAAGGTCTCGGAGGGAGTCGAACCCTCGCTGGCGGAATCAGAATCCGCAGTCATAACCGTTAGACCACGAAACCATAGCATTAATGTTTTTTGATCCACATGTTGTTGTGTGGATTGTTGGGAAACGACCTCGTGTTGTGGTCTATGAAGGGCTCCCGGTGCTGGCGAAGAGATTTCGCGCTATATTGCGTGGACCCACTCCGGCCGACAAGTGGCTACTCCTACATCCTCTCTCATTCGCCAGAAAAAAACAGCACCCAACGACGACGTTTCGTGGTTGTATGTGACTTTGGAAGGTTATACCAACTTCATCCGTCACTCTGTAACTGGCTGTGGGAAATGTGATAGATACAGTTCATGCAGTGAACTCATTCTTATAATCGCAAAAGCGTTGTGAGATCTGTTTAGCAGCTAGGTAACACTTCCAGTGTCAGTCAATTTAGATCGATACATAACGACGCAATAATGTACGGAATATGGAAGTTCAACTGTATGAAAAAAGCCTAGATGCGACTAATGAAATCCAACTCTTTTTTTGTTCACTGCTGTAGGTTGGTGCCATCAACAATATCTCATCCTGCTGCCTTGTCCCATCTCACATCTCGCACCTCCCACCTTCTAACTTCCAACTTCCAACTTCCAACTTCCACCTTTCACCTCCTATTCTACCTCAGCATCATTATTTTTCAACTCTTACCTCAGCCCTTTCTCACTCCCTATGTACGGAACTTAGCGCACTGTTGACCTGACTTTCACATCCCTCTACGCTCTGCTATCTTTGCGATACTGTTCAAAACACAACATTGGCCATTCGCGCGCCCTCGAAGCGATTTAGTACTCTTCTCAGAAGGTCGCTCGTGGCCTTTGGGGAGATGGGCATCTGAAGGTGCATCAGATGAAGTTAGTCCCCGTCCTCGACTCAGTTGTAGCCTAGTTTACCTAGGTGTGTCGAGGAGTCTTTTTTTTATACCGCAGTGCACGCCAGCCGTCACAGCAAACAGTCGCAACTATAGCCAGTGCATAGCAAAAGTTACAGCAAATATTCATTTCAAACAGTCAACAAACAGTCAGCAAACGCGTCTACCTAAAGCTGTCGCCTAGCAGTAGCATGTTTTCCTTTCACTTCCCCCCATCTTCCCACCACCACCACCAATAACATTTACCTCTCCTACCCATCTCTCTCCTAATCTTCTCCTACAAAGGCATTTGCATCCTTTAATCACCCCAAAACAACACTACAAATCACGCATCGACATCATGTCGGACCCCCCTAAATCACACGAAACCCAATATGGTGCTTCTGTGGCTCCTTCTGTCGAAAAAGAAATGACCGCTCGAGACATTGCTGTTCAAGCTGAAGCGCCTGCCAAGAGATCTTCTCAAGTCGAAACCTCTGCCGAGACTGCTATCCAGTAACTGAAAAAAACAGTGGACATCGTGCATGGCCCTGCACAAGATGTCGGTCCAGACTCTGACACTATCAGTCAGTTTGCCGGACCCGAAAACAACTTTCGCATGGACGCTCAGAAACCATCAGACAGTGGCTGGGTCCATGCCCTCGTTGATATTGATGAATCTCTCCTCCCTGGATTTGCAAACGAAACCATCCAGCACGTCAGTCTTGGCCCATACAGAGGCTTTAACGCCCGATTCAAGCTTGATATGGGACTTTACTTCAAGCCAGCAATGAAAATGCAGTTTATGGTTCGACATGGATCCAAAACTCATTTGTTTGCCATCGTAATCATTCCACTACATGTGATTCTCGGAAAGTCGCATATTACGGACATCCAGACCGCCGACTAGGCCTCCTTGCACACGCTTCTGGCCCATCAACAGATAGACATGTATGGACTTGAGTCCTCTACAAAGGTGACTGACCCATTTACGTCGATTGAATGCGACAAGGAAAAGCAACCTGCTTTAGGCACCGCCACCGAGACTGTCCGTACTCTGCGAGCCGACGTTTCTCGCGAGAATGTGATCATCTCCAAGCCGCCGTTGTTCCAGCAGGAACGTAACACCCATACGCAAGCTGTCCGCGAGATTGCAGAAGCCGTTTTGGCACGCCTGGAACTTCCACCTCAGGCCAAGTCCGACTATGGTTCTTTCCAGAGTCCACCTTTTCCAGCCATTGGTGGCAGGCCCTAGAGAACATCGACGCCTACGCCCGCCCATATGCGGATATGCTCGCCTGGGCACACTACTATCCTAGCTTGTCCTATAATAATTTTGTTATGGGGGGTCTCAAGCACCCTGACAAGCTAGCACCGTCTACGAACATATTCCTCAACGGCGAACAACAGACAGTTTCCGTGATGGGTGGCGCCATTGAAAAAATCACAATACAGGATGATCTTGCAAGCAAGCTATAGGAAACCACATTGCAAGCCGTCATAATTAAGGATCCTTATTCTATCTGAGAGCCGAAACAGAGTGACCAACAAGTTTATGGGATCAAAGCCGACTACCAGCCACTACGCTGGTACTTCATCGTCTACATGTCCAACAGTGTGGTAGACATGTTTCTAGACGTTGATATACCTTTTCAATTACCTTTCTAAGCTAGGCATAGCAAGGTGGCTCTTGTATCTCACCAGGCCCAACACGAAAAGGCAGTTGAAAAGGAGAACGAAGCAAAGCAGGATATTTTTCGAGAGAGGCCCACAAACATCGGCGGTGATGTCTATACTAATGTCGCAGCAGAAAGCCTCTTCTCCATGATCGCCGTACCCAGCAATCAAGCCATTGAAGATCATACCGACCAGCTACTAAACGTTCAGCTTGCGGCCACAGCTTTATATCTCGCAGCTGACTTGCGTCAACACGAGTTGGGCGTCGAATGGGATGGAAGCATCCGTGACTGGGTTCGCATGCTCGTGGAAAAACTCAACATTATATCAATGGCTTCAGAGAGTCATACCGTATTACTCGTCGACAGCTTCTACCTGGCACTCCTGCCGACGTTGCATTATGCGAGGCTATCACGGCTAACCAGTCGAACTGGCCTTTGGGAATGAAGAAGCCGCCGTTGAAGGTCAATCTTCCTCATGTAACCATTAGAGGTCCAGCAAACGAGTTTCTAGTCAATGTGTGACAACCTGTGAAGAACAGCGCAGCGAAGACAGCATATCCCACTGTCTCGTTCAAGGCCTGGTTCCAACCAAACGACACAAGCATCAAGACTGAGTGCGCTGCAACCACCGACCTCAACGCTCTCTCCGACGTCTCTGCCAAAGACTTCTAGGAGTACATTCAGCGCTTCGGAGAACCCAAGGAACACCATGACTGGCTCGCACAGTATCAGGCCCTAGGTCGACAGGTCAGCGAACACTACCACCACGTTGGCGAACGACATGACGTGCTGTCCAGGCTTGACAAGGTACCATCAGGATATGCGGCCATCACAGGCGAGAAGTCGAGAGCGCACTAAGCCCGGCAGAGGTGCCTGGCTCTTCCAGCCATTAAATCCTAGCTTTGGACAAACCTCTTTCAGAGTGAGAGACTGTTAAGAAGAAAAGAGAACTCCACTTGGGGCCTGGGTCGGGCAAGACAAGTCTGGCCGAAGACATTGTTTTGGCAGTAGTCTCTGAGCTAGATGGCTTTGACAGTCAAAATGGTGCCCATGATGGCTCTGCCAACGGTTCTCAAGTCGCCGAATGGTCTACCGAAGACAACCATCAAACCGCCGAATGGACTGCACCGGAACAAGAAAACAACTTTAACACGTTCCACCCGGCTTTTCCATTCGCAGGAGTATGGAATGATGTTCCAGACGACGCGCCAGTCGAGGCACCTGAGACGGTCCTTCAAGTTTTCATTGAAGTATTTGCTACTACCACCACGATCTGCACTAGAGGTCGTTCGACCCGGGCTCACGCCCTAGGCTTCGTCACTGGCCTCCAAGCCAGCCTGTTCCCCAGGGCTTCGTTTCTGCCCTAAGGGCGAGGTGTTTGGAGGACCAGAAGCCGCGTGGATTGTAGCTGAGAACCAGCTATGCGATGTCGCACGGGTTAGACTCTCTACCAAGGAACCCGGCGTTTGTACTTCAAGAGCGCGTCCATGGAAGTGTGAGATGGAAAACATGTTTTAACCATGGGACAGAGAGCCTGCCCTCATCTCCGTCGGCAAAAAAGCTCACGTGATGTTTCAAGACCGTCGCCTAGCGGAGCATATCAACCATCAGGGTCGTATGCAGTTCGACAAGAAGTCGGCATCCCGTGGTCCAACCACCATCTCCGAGTATGCGAAGCAAATTGCTCGAGATGATCCAAAAACTTGGCCTGGCTACCTACACGCATACAATCAGGAGCTTACCAATCCCGAAGGTTTCCTTCTCAGTCGTGCTCGCAACGAAGAGCATACTCGTGAACTCCTTATCCATGTTCTGATGAACTTTGGACTTTACCCGTCATGACTCCCAGCTGCAGAGCGAGGGACAAAGCCAGTATTAGACTTTCGAAATTGTGGACAAATGTTCTGATGGACAAAGTGGATATTATCTGTTGTACTCTGGTGACTTTCGCACATATCGTCAGTCACGCCAAGGTCCAAATGAGGTCCATTGTGCTGGATGAAGCATCCCGTATGACCGAGTCAATGTCGCTCATCCCTATGTCCAAATGTCCAGAGGCATCCTTCCTCCTCATTGGCAATGTGCGACAATTTGGTCCTATTGTCACGACTGTCAATCGCAGTGATTGAAAATCATTATTTGGTCCACAGCGCAAGACAAGTCTATTCAAGCGCATGGGGTACTCAGGGGCGATCCAGTATCGCCTCAAATCTAACTACCGCGCTCGTGGCCACGCTGCAGATTTCATCCGAGAACCAGTTTTGTCAGCGAGCTATTGGGTGATGGCGGTGGTCGCAGGAGTGACGAATCTGCGATAGACAGATGAATATCGTGAACAAGATGGCCCGGGACCACCCTCATCACTCAATACCTCGCTGACAAAACTGGGTCACACAATCCAAACGTCCTTATTGACGTCCCTGAAGCTATTGAAGTTCGAGTCGGTACCAGTTTCACGAACCCTGCAACTGCTAAGCTTGCTGTCTGTCTAGCCATTCAGCTTATCGGGAGGGTGCGGTTCTCAATGCAAAGGACGCCGAAGGCGTCCAGAAAGGCGACAACGACATCAATATCCGACGAGGTAGCATCCTAATTGTTACACCATACCTCTCCCAGAAGAGTGACATCTGTTTCTTGCCCTCTCGAGTCACCGCAGCCGAGCTTCCTCCAGGACTCGTGGAAGTACGAACATTCGACAGTTCACTCTCACATTCAGCGTCTATTATCATCACCGACGTGGTTCGCACTGGCCGTCGTGGGTTTACTGACGATGCGGATCGTGTCGCTGTCACGATTGCGCGTGCAAAGGACACTCCTGGGAACTCCCGCCTGGGAAGTTACGTCCAATTCCTCAAGGATCGGGATGCCTTTTTCACTCTCGGCAATGCAAAGTCCAGTCCCAAATGGACCGAGTGATGTTTCCGATGTCTCAAGCCTGGACATCTGGCGCATGTGTGTAAGGAGGCACCTCACTGTACCACATGCGACCAGCCTCATGCGACCCGCTACTGCCCCCGAGCAGAGGAGAACACCATCTCCGAAGTGGTGAATGAACATATCACTGCTGACGGCGGCATTATCAGAGATGTATTCATGGCGAGTGGTATAAGCAAAGAACAGGGGAAACGAGTGGCTTTTCGACCCCAGAACCAAGTTTCTCGCGAGCCCCCGGCAAGCATGCGTTCATAGGCAAAGACTGAGTTCGCAGAGGCGAGGAAACGTGTGCGCTCATTTGAGCAGGATGCAGATTTTTGAGTGGAAGGCATGATATCTTTGGAGGACATTGATTGAGTAATACATCAAGGAAGATGTCGAGGAATAGCAAAAAGATAGTGCAGTTCAATTGATTACTGTGACTTTATATTTATTGGTGTCTAGATATTTCGTTAAGCAATATTCAAAATAACCTCTCCCAGGCAGGTTAATATATAACAAGTCATGACATACGGCAGCTTTTCCCTCTCTAGATTAACATGATCTGCTTGACATCCTACTTGTCGGTTGCTAGATCGGTAAGTTGATCCCTAATTAGTTCTTCGCTCCATTGCTAACCAATTCCGCGGCTTCTACAACGCCAGTCCAGGCCAAATGGGCAGGTTTCCTCTGATCAAAAACCCCAACGAGGACTTTCACATCGTGCCAGATCGTTGCCGTGGCTTCTACAAAGCGCAGCGTACCTTTATCATCGGCCATGGCTTGGAGAGTACAAATGCACAATGGAGTTTTGAATGAGTTTGAATTATACTACGTAGCTAACTGACTCCCCACCAGAAAACCATCCCGATACCTTGTAGACCCCGATGTCTTGCATCCCAATATGTTTACCCGAGATGACACATGTCCGTGATTCTTCTATACCCGGGGCGTCCTTTGTCCCATGCCTGGACGCGAAATGTCTTGTAACCACAAGATGGTTGCCCGAGAGATGCCCTGTCTGTAGTCTCGAAATCAAGGTATCGGTTCAAAAAGAAGAGTACGCCACGCAGCCCGTCAAGACGATTGACGGTTGCCTTTGTTAGGCTCTGGATGATGCATTGCGTTGTATCCGTTCTCTTGCGTCCACAAGTGTTGCGCTGGTCAATGACGGTCTTTCAGACCTGCTGGGTAGGTGTGGTAGTACCCTGGCCGATCTCGTTAGCCCTGCGAAGGCGTGACTCAAGCTTGTTGAGACGCCGGCTGATCTGTGCTTGAAACAAGCTGTTTTGTCGGTCACGGGCTTCTTCACGTCTATCAAGGGCTTCGTCGCGGGCTCGGCTTTGATCGGCCATGTTTTGCATCATCGCCGTGTTTGCATCTGCTGCCTCCTGGATGTGTTGGAGTTGTTCGAAGATCGCATGGTATCCTTCGTTCCCAGTATCTTCGCCGTCAAAACTGTCGGCAAAACCGTCGGCGTCAGAGGAATCAGCGTCATTCTCTTCAATGTCCTGAGCCATGTTGGTATCGATGACCTCAGCGACGTTGAATTTCTCATCGTCGCCCTCATCATCGCCCTCATCGGACGAATCCGATGAGTCGCTTTGGACGAAAAGCGACGAGGATGGGTCAGCTACGCCTTCCTAAGACGGCTTCTCCCCCTCAGTGCACCAGAGAGACATTGCCTAAACGTTCAAGTGTTAGTGGGTATAGAGAGATAGGAACAGGGAGTACTAACCGGATCGAGGATCGAGGGTGGAAGAAGGATAAAGCTTGAGGGTCGGAGGATCAAGAGTGAAGGATCAAGGTCAAGGGTTGAAGGATGAAGGGCAAAGGGTAGATGTTGGAGGATAGGGGAGCATTTGTAGTTTTGGGGTTTTGAATGATGTAATCATTAAAGAATAAAGTATGGTCTTTTAGACAATCTCCTTCTGAGCTCCTGGGAAAATAAACTTTTAGCCTTATACTGTTCTAAAATATAATAGAAACTAGAGGGTAGTAAGAGGATTCCCAAAACTAAAGCTTTAAATCCACCAGATACCTCTTTAGATAAGCGCTAGTGCATGCATACGTGACTACTACCTGCTGGCCCTCTTGACAATATATGTGCATTAGACTAAGTAGATAGTCAGATAGATCTTGTAATCCGTCTGTAAGCCATCTTCCGTAGACATCGCAACTAAGAACAGAACAACAGACAGAACAACACAGAAGGCGATGTGACAATCATTAATCAAATATTTCTACGAGTTATTTACCCCTTTTTACATCTATTCTCATGTCTACATGCGAGGGAATCCTACATGGTGGGAATTGCAGGCGTAGTTCCAACAGCGTCGCATGTACGAGGTGACTAGATCACGGCGATCATCATTCATATAACCAGGTGGGAGCGTGCTTACATTACAGAATTAGTACTTGTAGATGTTGATCCTTTCAAAGTATTTGAAAAAAGTATCGGCATCAGCCAACCAAGGCGTGAGGGAAACATGTTCAGTAGTTACATCTATAGCAAATGTCGTGAGAGTTTCTTGAAGCTTGTCGACTCCGCTAATGAGGGATTCAATCTGACCTTCTGTAACTTTGTCCATGTTATACAAATCCTCAGACGACTTAGATGAAGCCTTAGATGAAGTCCCGTTGGATGAAGCCCCATCAAATTGAGTGTTGAGCAAATTGGATAAAGACGTATTTAACGAAGGGTTGGATGGGCCTATATTGAACGATGCCCTGGACAAATTCTTGCGATATTTCGTAATGCAACATTCACAATAACCTCTTCTGGCACCATGCTTGGAACGGTATGTCTTATATAAGATATAATAGCAAATCTGCTCCTTTGTCTACTACTTGGACTCGTTGGCCAGAATTTTTTCCACCCTCTTCACCTTTTCCTCAGCAGTCTGCTTCTTATCCGTTCTGTAAGCCCATCGTCAGTAAAATATCCTAACAGTATATCTTTGTATGAGATGATTGAATTTACCGGCTACCGACTCTCATGGACGACTGGATCCTCACCACGCCGCGTTTATGCACAGCAGCATGAGCCTTTCCTACAGCCGTCATGACCTCATCCCAAGAGCCCTCTGCGATGAAATGTTAGCCATCGTTCGTTGTCTTTGTCTACAAACCCCATTATGCGAGAACAACAAGCTGGTTGAGAAGTGGAACAAAATGACGCACCGACTGTGGTACCAGCAGAGTGAAGAGTATACTTCAATCCACTCGCCTTGAGAACCTTTTGCACCTCTGCAATATCCTCTGCAACGGAAACGGTTCCAGTTCCGAGCTATTCAATGTTAGTTTCTGTCGATTTGCGAGTACCATGGCCCTAAAGAGGCTTGGACAGAGAGTTGCTGCTCACAGGAAGAAGGCAGAAGTCGACATAACACGACTCTGGCGTAGCAAGACTTTGGTAATCCATAATTAAAGGTGTTGATAGATGTTTATGAAGAATGTGAATTTGTGTTGAGGGTGGAAGAGTGAGCTGATGCTGTTGTGAAAGACTATGGGTCTGGGGTTGGAGGAGCTAAAACTCGCTGCCAATTGGCTGAAGGGACGTCATGAAAGCCAAAAACCGCAACTTCATGACGCCCAATACTAGCATTATTTACTAATAACCATGTATCTTGTTAGTCATTATCATTCACTATGAATCGTCATTGGAACTTGGTATTGCTTTGCAGGGTGGCTTCTTCGCCTTTTCATTTAGAGTAGGTATAAAGAGGTGACGATACATCGTACCATCCATCTATGTAAGCCCTTCTTTTCCAACTCTATGCTCATGTATGTATGTATATCCCTCGAATTCATACATCTATCAATCTAGAAAAGAATTCCATGCTTGTCTTGGAATGCAATTTATCAAAATCCAAGCTTGCTAGTCCTAAAAACGCCTCGCTATATGCCCAGAATGACCGAACCGGATTAAACGGCAGGGTCGGATCGAACCTGTGTAAAGGAATGGTGGTATTTGTGAAAGAAGAAAGACAAAAGGGATATTTGAATGCTCGATGACATTCTGAGATTGTTGGTGCTTACACCAGGAGTACAGCGGCAGCGACAAAGGCTGTCAAGGCAACCATACCGACTTGTCTGTCGTTGGTGCTGCCCAGAGACTCATCTGATGAGACCTCCTCACGGCCGGTAGCGTCAGAGACACCGTTCATCTTGTCTGTCGCAGCAAGGACCTGGCCCTTCTCGAAGAAATCGACAAGGACAAAGTTGGGGGCAGCACCCCACTCCTGTCGGCACTCCTGGAGGTGCTTGCCCAGCTCGCCGTCTGTGGTAGTACCGTCGCTGTTCACTGTGTCGATGTTCTCGGTATCAGGGATGAAAAGATCGCTGTTGGTGGCGAGGCTCTGGTACTTGAAGTGGTTGACCAGACTCATCATGCCATTGGACAGAGCTGAAGCGCCGTCGGAGATCTTGGAAGGACGGTCAACGGTGCAGTTGAAAGCGTTCAGTTCCGGAACCTCGAAAGCTGTCTCGAAGACGTAGTCGAACTCGGGCATCAAGTAGGGGTACTGTGTCGAAGCGTCGATGTTGGTAACAAAGGTAACCAGGCGCGTCTTGGCATCAATCATGGACTTGAGAGTTGGCCACTCGGTAGTGGCGTTCTGGCTGGATGGTGCATAAGCCAGTTCAGCAATGCCAGAACCGTTGATAGCCTTGCCAAACTCATTGGCGCTGGCACTGTCAGAGTTGACTAGCAGAATAGTAACGACCTCGTTGGCGTTGGCCTCCATCCATGCATTAATCTTGCTCAACCAATTCTCAAGCGTTCCAGCGTCGAGAATATCACAAGAGGTGTGACATAGGTGTAGAGCGTTGTTTTCCTTGTGGACTTGAGCCTGAAGGAGACGAAGACCAGCGTCAAGAGCATCTGTAGCGTTGAAGTTTTGGTTTCCTGCGGCTGAGAGACCATCGTTACCGTCTCTTAGAAAGGAGCTTCCGTGAGCGCCGAGATGCGTAATGTTGTTGTAGTTACGGTCGCAAAGATCGGGAGAGTTGTTGCATGCTGTCGAACTTGAACCAGAACCTGATCCTGAGTTTGATTGTGGGAGAGCGTAGACAGTTGAAGTGGCAGCGAGGACTCCAGCCACTATGGAGCGAAGTGAAGAGTGAAGCATCTTGATATTTCTTTTCTTTTCTTTTTTTTTGGTTAATAGAACTGATCTATGTGAGATTGAAAATAGAGATAGAAAAAAGAAATGGTAATAAAAAGTGAAATGATATTCTATAGAAACAATAGAAAAGAGAACAAAGAGGATGAAAGCATTCAAGTATAGATCGATGGGTAGGTACGTAAGTCTAAAGGGGACCAGTGGGCAAGACTAAGACCCCCTGTACTTTTAGAAGCTGACGTCGCCCCCCGGTCCAATTTTTTGGTGGTTGGTCCCCTGGAGACTCGAAATGATCTTCAAACGAAGCGAAAAAGCCAAGTCGAAGAAAAAAGAGATGCAGGCTTGATGCTGCGCCCCTTGAAACGTCAGCAGTGGAGATATCCCATTGGTTACCAACGCTTCAAAACATCAACGAGACAGCCCAGACTGTAGGCTAGTTAATAGCCTCAGGTAGACTAAGAAAAGATTATTTGACTTTTCTATTATGCAGTGCTACCATGTCGTAAACAGAGTGTTTTAGGTACAGTTTGAGATTCAACTCTCTTCCTCTATATTCCGACAATACACGTCATGCGGCTGGAGCATTAAAAGATCGACAACTCCAACCATCTATTTTCCACTCTTTTACGCTGCCACCCATAAACAATAAGCATCATGTTACTTCCTGGATGCCAAGAAAATAGTAGACAAAATGCGGGAGCCGAGACCGTGTCTCGTCTCGTCTATCCATACATACGCGGATACAACGCATGCCACATTCCGGGGTGTTTACGTTGCGCAGAAAAAACGCCTTACCGTTAATAACAAATTGACATGAATCTCGTTTGTTCACTCAATCTCATATCCTTGAAGACTTGAAATTGCTTTCTTTCTAAAGCATTTACATACTCATCAATGACTATTTGTTCTCAAACTTTTATCCAACCTCTTTTGTTTCAAGCTGACTGACAATCTCTGCATAATGATCATCTCTGCATATGACAACATGTCTTGGTGGTGGTGGTGGCGGGAGGCTGAGCATAAAAACGTTGTTGGTATCCACTTCTATTTTTATCAATTTTTATGTCCGCTCCCGCTTCCCGTCGCGAAGCGGCTCAAAAAATGACCACCTCATTAATAGCATCGAATCAATCGATATTGTCAACACGAGGTTTTCACATGGACTCGCCACGAGGTAATTGTTTGATTTCTAAGCCGCTAACCTCGGTCAAAGAACAAAATTACTAGAATTAACAATCAAGATAATCCACCAAAAGGCATGGTCAACTGGTAATATTTCCAACAGTAGAACATTGACAGGCACATTCGTTAGAGGCCGTCACAATTCCGGGGTATAATAAATTCTTATTTCCTCTATGATAATCAGCATAGCCAGGCTTCATCCGATCTACTCCATTCCACTGTTGTCACTTTTAAAATTCCATGTACATCGGATCGCCAAGCTACCAGGGTTCGTCCCCGTCTATCATGTGCATTACTCAGGGTCACCGTACTCCTCCTTCTTTTCCGATGAAGCCGCGGTCTCGATATCCTTCAGCTGCTTCTTTCCCTCCTCCGTAGTAGCATCAATGATTTGCTCCTCCAAACTCAAAATGTTGGCCTGTAAATCATATCATTAGTATGTTGCAACTCTATTTTAAAGTGCTTGCAGCTTACCTCGCCAAAGAGACCCACGAGCTCCTCAGCCTCGTCAATCGGCATCTCGCCCAGCACCTTGTTCACCTCATCTAGGTTACCCGTCTCCAGGGCCTTGCGCATTTCAGGAGAGAAATGCTCAAAGATCTCACGTGCTTCCTGCTCCTCGGGATCCTCGCTGTCAGCCGCGGGCACCTTGATGTTGATGACCGTGCCAGGCTCAACGGCGTGCAGCTGGATCTGCTCGACGCCTTCTGTTTGGCCCTCCTTGGCTCGCTCCGCTAGGATCTCTCGAGAACGGGTCCTTATCTTCATGTATGTCTCTTGCACATCCTTGTAGAAAACTTCTTGCGCTTGGTGTCCCTTTGTCATGATGCGCTTGAAGAACAACCCAACACCATCCTTGCCGAGAGCCCGGCAGTACTGCAGAAGAAGTCCCTGATGAATGTATTGTCGCGACAGGTCATCTTTGCCCTCTAGGGCAGCATCAAAGGCCTGGACAAGAAGACCGTCCGTCTCCTTCTCAACCAACAGCTGGGGGTTCTGTAGCAGGAACTGGAGACTGGCCTGATAGTCGTTAGCCTTAATGGTTCCAAACTTCTTTCCGGCTGGCGAAGATTCAATATCGCTGTCGTCGTCGATCTTGACGTCTTGCTTCTCGGCTCCCGAGTTTGACGAAGATCCCGCGGCGGCGCCAGGGTTTAAAAGCTCCACCTGCGTAGTCTCCTTCTTCTTGTCTTCGGGCGTAGACTTGGCGACATGCGAGCTGTCGAAACCCGTGTGAATTCCCTCGCTGGTGATCTTTCGGCCTTCCTCCTTCTCGAGCTCGGCCAGTTTAATCTCGAGCTCTTTCTGCAAGTTGGTAACCTTGTCCTCATGTTCCTGGATCTCAGCGATCATGGCCTCATATCTGTTCTCCGGCTTCTTCTCGTCAAGGGCCTTGTTGACCTGGTCCAGGAGTGTAGCCATCATCTTGGTGTACGATGGCTGCTCCTTCTCGTGGGTGTGAACTCCCTCAGGTGGGACCGGGGGCTTGTCATCCTTGGGATTTCCAGCTGACTCCATGACAGCTTGGAAAGCAACCTCCGCCGGGTTTCGGGTGGTAGCCTCAGAAGCATGAGCTCGGAGCGATGCCAAGAGGCCTGAAATGCGCTTGATCAAGCCATCGTTGACTATGCGCTCGTACTTGTAAGTTTCAATCTGGAGTTTTCGATGTTGGCGCTCCTGGTGAATCTGGTTCTGCTTCGCGCGAATAAACGATCGCTTATCGACGTTGGGGTGCACTTCAATGTCAGAATCGTCACTGAGCTCCAGTGCGTCCTAGCATCAGTTGTCAGCGACTGTTTGAACCTTGTTGGCCTTGCTTACTTACCCATTTGCTATAATCCACAGGCATGTTTTATACTTTCGGTCCAAGCTTTGGATAACTCAAAATGTAGTAGGTTATGTCAAAGTGTAGAATGTTGAGAGTTGTTGAAATAGAAGTTTCTGGACTACTGAAGAGCAGCTGCCATGATGGCGGGGTGTTGACGCTCACCCCACTACAAGATCGTGGCGTAAGTGTGGCACAGCCACAAGTGTACAATGTCGAACATGAAGTGACGTTATAAGAGGCAGAAAGGACATCAATTAATTATCTTTCTATTGACGCTTGTAAATGTCTTTGCAGTCATTATTGATCAACAAATAAAGGCATTTGCTAGTTACAACGCATCAAATACATATGTCGAATCTCATCACTTGATCATTCGAGCTGCCCACGATTCTGATGCATCGTTAAACATATCCTAACGCCATGGTATCATCCCTTTGCCAGTTCCTTCCTCGATAAGAGAGTAACAAGCAACTCTATATAACGCTTTAACTCATACCTTTAAACCCGGTCCCGCTCTAACCCATGAATTTGCGATGGCTTCCTGTCCGCTCATTTCTTGACCCCACGAGCGCTAACTTCGCCCCTTTCACCAATATTAAGTTTGACTCGACACTCAGGACAGTACCATTTAGTGGTGCGCGCAGGGACTTCAGTGAGCCCAACACACTCGAGGTGGAACCATTCTTGCTTACACTGCCCGTTTGTCAGTTTCGTGTCCGCTTGCTTTTGAAGCCGTGTTGAGGTGGAGAGTGAGTAGCTGTTTGTTGTTGAAGAGTTGCATACCTCGGAGTTTTCGCAAGCAATCATTGTGCCAAAGCTGACCCTATTACAAAGACAATACTTGGGCTCATCCGGATCGATCGGGTTTCCATCATCATCTACATCCTCCAGCTCAACCTCGGCAGACCCCTTGTCCTTCTTGGGACGAGCCTTCTTCTTGGGTGGCGCCTTTCGCTTACCAACAGCGCTGTTACCGCCGCTTTTGGTGGTGCTAACAATTCCAGGAGCGGGCCGTTTAGTTCGCTTTAGTGGTCGAGGCTCGGGTGCAGGCGTGTTGCGAGCAGTACTCGCTCGTCGTGGGCGATCTGCAGCTAGCGAGAGCTGCGGCTCTTGACTCGCAGCTTTACCTCGAGAGCTCGGTCGACGGATGGCAAGGCCTTCGGGGCCAGGGGTTATTCGAGGAGTGGGCGCACGAGAGGGTACCTGTCTGTTTGCTACTTCAGGAGCATGTTGAGGAGGTGGTGGGGGAGGAGGGGATTGTGGAGGGGCAACAGCAATTTGTACAGTTGCTGTCTGGAGCAATGGGGATGTTTTTGGTTCGGATTTAAGAGTTTCTTCTTCAGGCACCTCAGGAATCGCTTGAACCGCCTGAGGTTCTGCCTGCTGTTGTTGTGCTTGCTGTGTCCTCTTTGCTGCATCACCTCGAGTTTCTCTTTTGGTGTTCTCCCTCACTGGGGGCAGCACAGGGGTCACCGATTTTCGTCCTTCAGAAAACGGCAAGGGGACTGGGGTCTCTTGAGGAGGACCAGGAGGCTTGGTAGGTCCAGTATTTGACGCTGCAACTGGGTTGGGTGTTGGAGACTTTGCCGACCCCCTGGTTGATATAGCAGGAATGGGTATGGGTACAGGCGTCTCGGTATGTGATGCCACAGGATGATCAACGGGCGCTGTTGTAGGCACTGGTGCCGGATTCTCGGGGCTCGGGCCCTTGCTTAATGTGAGTTGCGTAGGCGGAGGGACCGGCGTTTCGGTTTTGGTCCGCTTGACCTGAGGTCGGTTCTCGTTCTTTTCGGCGCTCCCGTTGATATCTGTAGGTTCTTCGGGCTCTGGTTCTCTTTTGCGCTTCGTTGACCGCGATGCTGCTCGAGTTTTGGTGGGTTTGGGGGTTTCTTTAATGGGCGTCTCAGACGTTGGGGTCTTTGGCGTGCCATTACTCCCGTTATTGTTGTTAGTGGTATTGTTGTTGTTATTGGCGCTTTTGTTACCGTTACCGTTT